GTGAAATGTTGTATTTGTTTTATTATTTTAATTGATAACTGCACGTATTTGTGGGGTACAGTGTGATGTTTCCATACATATCTACAATGTGTTTGTGATCAGATCAGGTACCCATTGCTTCAACCATTCATTTCTTTGAAACATTCCAAAGTAGCAGAGTGCCAGTATTGAGCAAAAAAAGCTAAGCAATGGCACTCAGGACCTGAGTTCAAGCCTTGGTATCAGCACATGAGCACACATGTGCACACACACGTATGCATACATATATGATTAAAAAATGTATCTGTTGACCATACATACCTACTGTGCTATACAATATTAAAGTTTATTTATTCTATCCTATTTGAGTACCAATGTACTGCCAACCATTCTCTCTCTACCCACACCCCTTTTCAGACCCCTGGCAACCAATATTCTATTGCTTCTTTTTCTCCTTCTCCTTCTCCTCTCTCTTTTCTCCTCTCCCTCCACCCCCCATTCTTCTCTTCCTTTATGCTAGTACTGAGGCCCGAACTCAGGGCCTTGGTGTTGTCCCTTAGCTTTTAGGCTCAAGGCTGATACTCTATCACTTGAGTTCCACCCCATTTCTGGGTGTTTTGCTGGTTAATTGAAGATAAGTGTCTCATAGACTTTCCTGGTGGACTGGGTTCTACCTGAAATCCTCAGATCTCCGTCTCCTGATTAGCAAGGATTACAGGCATGAGCCTTCAGAGCCAGGCTACTGCTTACTTCTCTGAGACAGCCTCCACATGAAATCATATGATGGTCTCTCAGTGCCTGACATTTCATTCACTATAATGTCTTCCAAGCTAATCCATGTTGGTGAAAATTGATGGTATTTCCTCCCCCCACCCCCACATAGCCACTTATCATCTTAATTGTGTCTCCACACTGATTGTGTAGCCACCTGAGCTATATAGCTTGGGCTGGTCTCAAACGTTGGCCATCTTGCCTCAGCCTCCTGAGTGCTAGAATTATAAGTGTACACTATTACTCCCACTTACTGCCTTGTTACTGAAAAATTGAAATGCCTAGATGGGGTACATGTATCTAAGAATTACTTCCATGGAGAGAGAAAGAGAAGTAAAATGCAAATATTTACTGAAGAAAAAGATAAGCAGAGCTTGTTAGGATACCACCTGGGGTGTTTTGTGCAGGGGTGAGTAAGGTGTCTCTAGTAGAGAATTACACGACCCTCAAAATCATTGGACAGCCTATAGGCCATAACAGTCCCCAGACCCAGTCAGAGGCTCCACATGGCCTGCCCAAACTCTCTATGCTCCTTTAGCCCCTCTGACCGGGGGTGCCCATTCCAGCACATACCTCTTGGGTCCAATCAGTTTGCTGTTCACATTGCAAGTCTTCCAAGGGGAAATGAGCCATGATGTGATGTCCAGGGGCCCGCATGGGAGACTGCTCAAGGCCACAGTGATACGATGTCTAGAGGCCTGCATACTGGACTGCTCAGAGCCATGGTGGAGGGTAGAGAACCTCTAGGGGAGGGGCCTTTGCCTGATTGCCCCTCAAGGCTCTATTTCTGCTATTCACATCTTTCCCTACTCATCTACTAATGGAGATGTCTGTATTTTTACTCACTGAGTCTAGCAAGTCTATAACTCTCCAGTCTTTTTTGTCTGTTCTCACTCCTACCACCCTAAACCCACATCCTGGCACAATCACAATTCCCAAGGAAAAAGCACCAGTTAAGGATCCCTGATTTCCCTCTGACATTTATATGAAATAGCTTTCAGAACAGAATCTCAGCCTGGCACCATGAAGAATCACAGATCTTAAAGCTGCATGCCAGTTTTCTAAGTCTTGGGTGACATCTGACCTTTTTCTTCCCTTCATTACCTTACCTGAAGAATGAGGTTTCTGGTTCCTCTTCCTGCTACATATTCAATGGAAGGCTGCTATTTTCAAAGTGTCTATTAGAGCTCAGGATGAGTAAGTACTTAGAGAAGCAGAAGTCTTGTTTGTTCAATATTAATTGTAAACACATATCATGAAAATCTTCCAAAAAGCTGGGTGCCAGTGGCTCATGCCTGTAATCCTAGCTACTCGGGAGGCTGAGATCTGAGGATTGCAGTTCAAAGCTAGCCATGAGACTCTTATTGCCAATAAACCACCAGAAAACCAGAAGTGGTGCTGTGGCTCAAGTGGTAGAGTGCTAGACTTGAGCTGAAGAGCTGAGGGACAGCACCCAGGCCCAGATTTCAAGCCCCATAACCGACAAAAACAAAACAAAACAAAAAATTCTCCAAAAGACCAGATTTGTGATATGCTGACCATTCTACCCCCCACCCCACAACGATGTAGTGTTTGGGAGGAAATGCCTTGGGTCAACTACTTCCTAGTGTTCTAGGAAGCTTAGGGAAAAGATGGAAAGAGACATAGCAACCATTGCCCCAACCTCCAACTATGTGCCTGGCCCTGTACTGTGCACATGACCTACATTACCTCAACCCAACAACTCTAGAAGGTGTCTGCCAACTGTGATTTCACGTGTAAGGGTACTAAGGACTTTGTAAGGGTAAGAAATTTGATAGTAATTATAAAATTACTCAGGAACAGAGATAGGAATTAAAACCATTTTTCCTTATAGAAAACCTTGAGGTCTTAAAGAATAGCAGCAGGGCCTCCTACTTTGAACTCTGGGTCAGGGAAAGACTCAAATTCACATGATGGGATTGGCTCTCTGTAGTCTCCATCCCAGCAGCAAATATTAATGTCTACTCATCTTTTGAACTAGAAATGAGCCTGAAAACCCTCTGGGGAGCAACATACTCTTTTCCCTGTATCCCTTTCCTTAAGCAGAGGATGGCAGGCCCATGGTAATGAGTATGGAAACCCTTTATTTTAGCTAATGACTTGCAGCTCTGGTTGAGTGGCAGAGGTGAGAACTAGCGCCCTGAAGGGCTGTGCATACAGCTGTCCCCCTTTCTCTAGGGACAATACTCCGGTCAGCGGGAGACCCTTATGAGGAATAGATGTCTTCATACTTCTGGCAAAAGGCGAGACTTCATGTCACTCCCATGAGCTCATTGGAAAAGGTTGGTCTAATGATGGAAGTAGATCTCTCAGCTTTCTTTGAATCTCTCGGTGATGCTTTATTCTGCATGGATTCTATGAACTTCCTAAAACAAAACAGACAGCTCTTAAAGTTCATATTTACTAGACTATTAAAAAGTTCCACCAAGACTTATCTGTTCAGGAGACTGAGATCTGAGGATCACGGTTCAAAGCCAGACTGGGCAGGTAAGTCTGAGAGACACTTAGCTCCAATCAACCCACTAAAGCCAAGAATGGAACTGTGGTTCAAGTGGTAGAGTGCCAGCCTTGACTAAAAAAGCTAAGGACAATGCCCAAGCCCTGAGTTAAGCCCCATCACCAGCACACGTGAACACACATGTGTGTGCGTGCACATAAACACACACACACACACATTTACATCAAGAAAACGTATTTTCTCTGTTGATCTGGTCACAGTGTTTCATTATTTTCTAGTAATATGTCAGTATAAACTTCACATCCTATTTTCTTTTCTGTATTTGCAGTACCTATCACAATCCATTTATTCCGACACTTAATCCATACGTATGGGCAACTGATATCTGCATGCTACTGTGTTCAATACTGAAGGTAGAAAGAGAAACAATGTGGAATCTACTCAATCAAAGTATACAGCTTATGTCTATGAAGGGCAAAGCCCTAGGTGGCTGTTTGTCACTCTGTTAATGCCAACTGGATTCTCATCTAAGTCATATTTTCTATTCCATTTTCACCACATTAGATCATTATTTTATAACAGTCTCCTTTAGCACACTGAAGAGACTATCTCTGATATATCTCAGGGTTGGGAAAAGCAGAGATGCATGGAAGAGCAGAGATGCCCTTGCTCTCAGCCACATCTTATTCAACATGGTTCGTCCTGCTGTATCTGACTGTTACCCCATTCCCTTCCTTGATCTTTCCAGGGGAATTGGTGCCAGGGTGTATTATTCTTACCGGCAAAGGTTCTGTCAATGTTGGGTGGCTTCCTAGAGATGGTTTGCTTCCGTTGACTTGATTACTTACTCTCTTTTTTGATATGGGTTGAGTTTTGTCTAGGAAAAAAAAGGGATATCAAATTATCACCATAGCAACGAAATAACTAGAATCCCACTATTGCCAGGTTGTTTTTTTCTTTAGAGATAACAATGGCCAAACTTAATACCCTTCCTTCAGAACAGACTTTCCCATGGACTTAGTATCACCTTCTTGCCCAAGAGCGTAAGACCTCTGAAGCTATGCATTGTCTTTTCAAGGCAGAGCGATCCAGGCTTTCCTGGTTTGTTTCCCAGGTACCACCACAGGCAAATAATGTCAGGGGTAGTAATAAGTTCTTGTGGGAGGGACAAGTCTCGAAGCAAGTCTGAGCAGGTGGAAGAGCTAGTAAGGAAACCCAGCCTGCCATTCACAGAGGCTGCTATCTATAATGCGAACCTTCAAGCAACCTTTTGGTGGTACTCAGCTGTGGTTGCCATGGCCCCTGCAGACCTTCCCAGAGCCCTAACTTAGCATTGTTTCACCTTGATGCTTGTGCAGAAGTGAGATAGGCTCACTCAGAGTTTGGCAGGCTGGAATGATTCCTGGATTTTTCTACCATTGTTCTACCAAGCACAATGGCTCCACCTTTTCCACCTTATGCTTCTTGCTGTTAGAGCTGGAATTTGTGGGAAGTTGGGAAACAAAAAGAGTCATTTGGAATACTCTTCCTCCAGCAATACAGGTCTATTGGAAGGTACAGCCAGGGTTTCATCTTCTTAAAAGTACCTGGCCCCATTGGAGGATACTGAACAATCCTTTCCTAACTACCCTGACTCTAGAGGCCGCAGGCCAACTTGATTCTACATGTAGGAGTGTCAGGACTTGAAGTGAGGACTCTGGAAAATTTATCTCATCTCTCACTGGATGCTTGAACATAGCAGCTTTGAGGAGGAGGACTTTCTGTCTCATGCCTATCCTGGGACAGGATTCAGCTGCATGCTAGATGGTCTAGCTTTTGGTTGGGTGAAGTTGCTAGAGGAAGCTAAAGAGAAATATAAAGTGACAGAATCAGAGATCATAATACAGAGTTGGTTGGAAGAGCTGTGTGGGAGAATTAATCCAGAAGAGATTTCCCCTCCAGGAAAGGGTTGGAAAAATAAATGTCAAGTTGTTGTACCACTTGTTTATATTTAGAAACACAACTTGTATGCAGCAATATTGTTTTGTTCCCAAGACAATCTGGATATAAAGGATATGAGGCCCATATATATAGACCCTGGAAGTAAAAGCAAGGAAGTAGGAGGTGGACACCAGAATCACAAGACCTTCAGGCTGCCTGGGTTCATGGGCCAGGGGTCATGTTTCATAGAGACCTCCCCCATCAGGGTGCAAGACAAGCTGACATTCCATGCCTATGAGAAACAGCAAAGCAGTACCCCTGTCTTCCTCTCCAGGTCAAAGCTAGTAATTGGAATGGAAAGCAAAGGTTTATTGGGAGAGACCAAAAGTAAAATCGAAGGCACAGTTAGTGCTGTTGGATGAGAAATTGATTCCTTGAAGTTGAAGCTAGAGAAGAAAATGTCTGGGAGGTGAGAAACTAAGCAGCAGAAGCCTCCAGAAAGCAGAATAGAGGCACTAATCAAACCTTATGTGGGGAAAGCAACTATTGGGATGCTACAATGGTCATTAAAGATGGCACATCACACCTGAAATGGGCAGAGTAGTAAACACAGTGTAAGACTAATGGGGAGAAGGGAAGGGGTAGTAGCAGAAAAACAAAGGGGGTTTAACAATATTCAACAAGAAATGTGCTCATTACCTTACTTATGTAACTGTAACCTCTCTGTACCTCATCTTTACAATAAAATTAAATTTTAAACAAGACTAATGGTACCTTCAAGGGGCCAGAAAGAATCCAGAAGATGGGCTAGAGGCATGGCGCAGTGGTAGAGAACCTGCCTAGTAAGCACAAGGATTTGACTTCCAGCTCAACTACCACCAAAAGAATCACATGAGTGTGCAGATAAGACCTGTACCCAGAGCCCACAGAACCCTGGGGAGACCAGGAGAACCACTTGTCACTGATGTCTGCCACTCACGAGCTGTGTGACCTCGAGCAAGTCACTTCCCATTTGGGGGGCAGATCTCCTAAACAGACTGGCCAATCTGGCCTTGAGTCACTGTCTCACTGTGGGGTTGCAACTCACAGTTTTGAGTGGAACTTATTCCATCCCGCTGTGGCTGTTGAGGCCGTATCCACTCAAGACCTCTGATTAAGGAGAACCTTAAGACAGCGTGAGCATGATCACCTGGGGAAGGAAGGGAGCTCATTAAGAACAGCTGACAGAATCGATTTTCCCACGTAAGCACTGCATGTCGTACATCCTCAGATTCCAGGATGTACATGAGAGAATGATATCTAGATCCAAACCTGGCGCCTGGGTTCAGTGGTCTGGGACTGAGAGTGTGAAGTATTGCTCAAGACCCTGCAGTTCAAGCTGAGACTCTGCAGACCTGGGACCCTGACCTCTTAATTTAGGGCCTTCTTGCCACCCGCCTTCTCCTCTTCTTGAAACCAGAAGAGAATTTGGGAAATGACTTCCTTGGAGATCAGCATAGGATGTAAACCAAAGGCTGGAAGCACCTTAGCTCCCACTAAGGGGCATCATTATCAGTCTACCTGAATACTGTTTGCTTGCCCTGCCTACCTGCCTCTCCTTTGTTTCTTACAATTTGTTCTTCATTCACTGTCCTTGTCCCCATCCTACATAAGACCGCTCACTCACAGGGATATTTGGCCCTAAGTTCTAAAGAGGTTGTTGGCGTTTAGCTGCTGCTAAGGTGAATAAACAAGGATACTGAGTAGTGTTTGTGTATTATTGGCCACTTCAGCCAGGAATGTAGGGATAGAAGTCAGGGTGTCTAGCCAGCCAGCCTCGTTTCCTGTTTGCATGGATTTGGGTCTCCAGGGCACTTCTGCATTCTTAGCATAAAGTGGGATGCATGCATGTGACAGCTGGTGTGCGAACAGAGGTAGCCATCTGGGTGTATAGACACCCAGAAAGCGGGTTTGAGCTTGATAAGGAGAATGCTTGGCCCTATCAAAAGGCAGTCAGTTGCTGTCTTTAGCATTCCTTGTCCTGGTCAGGCACTGCCCTGTCCACCCCTTCTCCTTTATGAAACTTCCTTCAGCTCAAGTATGGATTTGTGTCAAGAAAATATAATGTGCGTGCGCATACATAGGTCATATACACACATCATACACATACATCACATACTTATATACACATATACACATAAATATACATATATTATACAATATAGATATATAAATCTTTCGTAACCACTCAGATATAGCCCTATTTATATTTTATCTCTAAGCTTATTTCTATGCTTTCATAAAACATACATATAGAAGTATGATTATCTATGTATATATATATATTACATTAAAGCTATATCATGTATTTAGCTTTTAAATTTTTCCACATATCTTTGTATCAAATTGGCTCTTTTCGGATGGTAGAGTTTATTCATTTTCTTTTATGCTGGTACTGGAGGCTGAACTTGGGCAGAGCCTCATACTCTCACTTGGCTTTTTTGCTCAAGGCTAACACTCTACCTCTTGAGCCACATCTTTACTTCTGAGATAGTAGACATTAATGAAGTTCACAATAGCTGTGGTTGGGGCTGGGAAGGTGGCTCAGTGGTAGAGCGCCTGCCTTGCATGCCTGAGGCCCTGGGTTCGATTCCTCAGCACCACATAAGCAAAAAGAAAAAGCCGAAGTGGCGCTGTGGCTCAAGTGGTAGAGCGCTAGCCTTGAGCTGAAGAGTTGAGGGACAGCGCCCAGGCCCAGAGTTTAGGCCCCACGACCGGACCAAAAAAAAAAAACCCAAAAAAACAAATAGCTGTGGTCACCACCGTGACATGAATCAGGAAGAAGTTCATGGGTAAACAGTCTTGTTTCTCTAAGGAGATGCCCACCGGGCCAGCAAACACTCCCAGAACCCCGGAAGGTCATAGAATTCATTATCTCTCATCCCAAGTCTCAGTGGCTAGAGAATAGGACCGTGAGTCATTGTGGAGCTTACCTGCATTCCAGACGGGGCTCTTGTATATAGTTTTGGGAAGAATTTTTCTCTCCCTGTGCACCTTCCCTACGTAGTGCAAGTAAGAACATACTGCTTTCCAGGAACAAAACCTGTGGGAAGAATGGCTTCTGATCACAGAGGAGACCTGGGTGGGACCAGTCCTCACAGTGTAGGTGTCCAACAGAGAAAGGGGGATGAGGCTGACCTTTGAGGGCTACCTGTCAGAGGCCCTTCTTCTGAGCTTTCTTCTTTGTGCAGACGTGGCTCAAGTGAGGGCTTGGCCTGTGGGCAAAGCTTTCTTCTGGAACCACCAGTGGATAGAGCCTGTGTAGAACTTGCTGTGCAAAGCTTAGGCTGCCATTTAATCCCTGGGTGCTCATTTGTGCATCGGAGTATAATAATCTCATAACTAGCCAGGCACCCTTGGCTCACGCCTGTAATCCTAGCTACTCAGGAGGCTGAGATCTGAGGATCGAGGTTCAAAGGTAGCCCAGGCAGGAAAGTCCATGAGACTCTTATCACCGATAAACCACCAGAAAACCAGAAGTGGTGCTGTGGCTCAAGTGGGAGAGCACTCGCCTTGAACTGAAGAGCTGAGGAACAGCACTCAGGCCCAGAGTTCAAGCCCCATGACCGACAAAAAAGAAAAAAAGAAAAAAATCTCCTGACTAGTGCCCCCCAGTGCAGGCATCAAATGTCTCTTTCCAGCGTCCCCTCGTGCAGACAGTGTCTGACTGGCTTCTACCTGCTCATTCCTGAGAGCTTCAGTCTACCATATTCCTGGAATGCACCCAGGTTCCTCAGACTCATGGCCCATGAACTCTTGCTCTCAAAAGCCCTCACCACATTTGCCATTGCTTCCTCCCTGTTTCCCTAGCTCCTTGTTATGTCTGCCTTCCCCCAGCCCTGGGATTGGACCCCTCCCCATATCCCGCCCCCCAACTTTGGTCAGTTCTGGATAAGACTAGATTTATTTTTTATGCTCCCTTGGCTTTGGTGGGCTTGCTACCATGCCCCCCTCTTCAAGGGGCAGAGTATTCTATTACTGTTGGTTTCTCCCATTCCAGTTGCTGAACAGTTTCTTTCCCTCTTGGAACTTCCAGTATGTCACACTTGCATTACTAGTAGCAGTGGTAAGTGACTAGGAGATCTGATTTTACCTCTTACTAAGTGATCCTAGGCAAGCCCCTTAGCTCCTCTGAACCTCATTGTCCTTGTGGAAAGCAGGGATACAATACGGTGCTCACCCCACCTCAGAAGGTTGTTGGAGATGATCTCTTGTTTGATCTTTGGTGGAGATTATTTCTTCACTGGGGATAATACCCACTAATGTGGGTTGTACAATGTAAGCAAGAATGAGAAAGCAAGAAAAGAACCAACTACCCCAGAATCGGGGATCTGAAACCTCCTTGAAACAACTCGGATCTTCCAAAATTCATAAGGAGGGAGCTGAGCTTTCAATCAAGCCAGGAGATACGTATATTTTCTAAAAGTATCTGATCCTTCAACAGTCTCAGGATGAGTTTGTATTTAGTCCTGTATTTAGTTTGTATTTAGAAGCACTAGAATGAAGTGCTAGTTAGCAATGAAGATTCAAAAGGCTAATTACTTGTCTTGATCAAAGATTTTGTGTATATTTAACTCTGGATTTAAAAAATACTATTTTAGGAACTTAAAAATAAGGATTAGGCTTCGTGCCTGTGGCTCACACCTATAATCCTAGCCACTCAGGAGGCTGAGATTTGAGGATTGCAGTTCAAAGCCAGCCCAGGCAGAAAAGTCCCCAGGAGACTCTTCTCTCCAATGAGCCACCAGAAAACTGGAAGTGAAGATGTGGCCCAAAGTGGTAGTGCGCTAGCCTTGAACAACAGAGCTCAGGGACAGCGTCCAGGCCCTGAGTTCAAGCCCCACAACTGACAAAAAGAAAGGGTTATTAATGTTAAGCATTTTTTACCATTGTTACTATAATAAAATAATTTATTTTTGGAGGACAAGAACCCTAGAAGGCAGAGTTAAATAACGATCCAAGCATTCCTTTAGCTAGGCTTGGGGAAACCTCGGTCACTTGTTCTATGGCCATTGTCATGCCCCAGGCAGAGGACATAAACAAGGGCTAGGGTAGACCCAGGAGTCAGCCAGTGACCAGCTGAGAGAGCTCAGACTTCCCTCTCAGCCAGAATCTTAGCAGAACAGGCTAAGTGGGTATGGGCTGCATGTGCTCCATGGGCATTTTATTGGATTCATTTCTGTGTTTGAGCCTTTTCAGTCTTCTCACCATGTTTTCATTTCTAGTTAGCTGCCACCTTGCCCCTCAGAAAATCCCTCTAAGCCTACTCACTCTATGAGCCTTCTGTGTCTAAGCAACTGTGTTCGCTTTGACAGAACTGCTCCCAAAGAGCTATAGCCTAGCTAAGAAAAACTCATACCCTCAATCCATAAACACACACAGGAAGAAGAGAGGTAGGAAACCCAGAAGATTTGTTCTTGGTGCCATTCATGCTTCCATCCTTTAGTTCAGGATTCACTGTGAGGAGCAGAGTAGGCAGAGTAGGATTAGAATGAAACTGGGAACAATGAGACACGGGCCCAGAGGAAGATTGGAAACTATTTTTCTAGCTTGGCAGTCATCAGGTAAGGGGAGATAGTTACCTTTTCCAGAAGTACATAATGACGGGGAAGATAGTCAAGATAGCCCCATGGAAGATGCTCCGGTCCATGAGGCCCTCTGTAATGGCAGCAATGATCGTATCCTTCTGAGACTCAGAGATGTTTACCTACCCACGGAGTGGGGACCTGTCACTTGAGGGGCTCCAGGACAGGCAATTACCTCTTGGTCCCCAGGATCCTCCAGACCACCCCTTGTCTTGAAAGCAAAGCTTTTTATGGGCTTGCTAGGGAAAGGCAAGGAGTTGGTTCAGGACTGAGGAGGCACCTGGCAATTCACTTGCAGGATTTTAGGAGGAAAATTCTAGAGGCCCAAGTGGAGGGGGATTCCCCCTTACCCTGAGCTTGGGAGGGATGTCAGAATGAAGGAAGAGCTTCAGGATAATGTTAAGTTTTGACCGTAGCAGGATCACATCATTCTCATTATATGCTTTGTTGATCAGCAGCATGTGAGCTGAACTCACCATTTCATTAAATCTAAAACAAAAGAGGAGTTAAATCTGAAATCAGCAGGGAGGAGATGACAGCCGAGATTGGATAGACTAGGCTCAGACCTATTTTGGGCCTGTATATTGAAAAGAAAAATTAAAGAGAGAGGCCGGCACTGATGGCTCATATCTATCATCCTAGTTACGCAGGAGGCTGAGATCTGAGGGTTGCCATTCAAAACCAGCCCAAGCAGGAAAGTCAATGAAATTAATCTCCAATTAACCAGCACAAAGTAGAGTTGTGGCTCAAGTGGTAGAGTGCTAGCTTTGAGCACAAAAGTTTAGGGAGAATGTCCAGGCCCTGAGTTCAAGCCCCATGACCATCACAACAACAACAACAACAAGGATAATAATAATAATAATAATAAAGTGGACCAATTCTGAGCCAGGTTGTGATGTCATCCATTCAATTACAATTGTACTGAGTACAACCAATGTATCTGATAATATGCTAACACTCCTTCCAATGCTTTTTCTGTACTACAAACTCCCTTCTCCATTCTGTGTTCTTTTTGTTGGTGGTGGTGGTAGTGGTGGTTGTGGGGCTTGAACTCTGGGTCTAGGCACTGTCCCTACACTCTTCAGCTCAAAGTGAGCACTCTACCCCTTGAGCCACAGCATCACTTTCAGTTTTCTGAGTGGTTAATTGGAGATAAGAGTCACACCAACTTTCCTGTTTGGGCTGGCTTTGAACGGTGATCCTCAGATCTCAGCCTCCTGAGTAGCTAGGATTACAGGTGTGAGCCACCAACGCCCGGCATCCTGTGTTCTTATTTACCTATCTAGGCAAATCACTTCAGCTTTTCCTTCTGAGGATCTCAAAGGCTGAGGATTGTGTTGCTCTTTCCTCTTCTGAACTGGTGTGAAGCTCACCTGGGATGCAGGCAGGCCCTGCTCATGGAGACAGTAATAGAAGAGCTGGACTTCGTTCAAATAGTAATGGGAAGCCTCTGGAGCATTTTAAGGGAAGAGGGTAACTTGACCTCTTTTTGTGTTTTTTAACAGGCTACTTACTCATTGCTTTGCAAAGCAGAATTTGTAGAGGGCGAGCAAGGCAGCAGATGATAGAGGCAGCAGATGATAGAGGCAGCAGATGATAGAGGCAGCAGATATTAGCCTATTCTGACTGATATCTGATGTCCGACTGTGTTCCCTACCACCTCCCTGCTACACAGTTTGTCATCTAACCCCTACTTGTCTTCAAAGTTCAGCTCAGGATGCCTTTGGGCATGGTAGCCTACACGTGTAATTCCAGCTACTCTTTTTTTTTTTTTTGCCGGTCCTGGGGCTTGAACTCAAGGCCTGAGACTGTCCCTGAGCTCTTTGCTCAATGCTAGAGCTCTACCACTTAAGCCACAGTGCCACTTCTGGCTTTTTCTGTTTATGTGGTACTGAAGAATGGAACCCAGGGCTTCATACATGCTAAGCAAGCACTCTACCACTAAGCCACATTCCCAGCCCATCAGCTATTCTATTTGAGGGCTAGCCCCGGAAAAACATATGAGACCATGTCTGAGTCATAAACTAAGGCAGAAAGGGTTATAGGTGTGGTTCAAGTGATAGAATGCTTGCCTAGCATGTTTGAGGCCCTGAGTTCCAAACCTTAGTATTGTCTTAACCAAATCAGCCTACTGAACCTGTCTTCTAAGACATCATCATGCCTGAGGATTCGCTGTGGCTTGAATGTACTTTCTGTGCCCGATTCTACCCAATACATACTATTAAGACACTTGCATAAACTTGTACTCTGTCTGCTGCCCCCATGCACCTGTGGGATCTTAGGAGTTAAGAACTGGTCTTAGCCAGGCCCCATGGGCTCACACCTGTAATCCTAGCTACTCAGGAGGCTGAGATCCGAGGATCACAGCTCGAAGCCAGCCGGAGCAGAAAAGTTCCCATGAGACTGTTATCTCCAATTAACCACTCGAAAACCGAAAGTGGTTCTGTGGCTCAAGTGGTAGAGCACTAACCTTGAGCACAAAGAGGCTCAGGGATAGTTCCCAGGCCCTGAGTTCAAGCCCTGCAACAAGGAAGGAGGAGGAGGAGGAGAGAGGGAAGGGGAAGGGGAAGGGGAGGAAGAGGAGGAGGAGGAGGAGGAGGAGGAAGAAAAAGTCTTTTTTTTTGGTATCTACAGCACGAATACAATGGCAAATTCTGATCATCAGTTTTTGAATTGAGCTAACTCCCTCTTTGGGGTGATCTCCCTTCCCTAGCTGAAGGGTAAATTACTGGCATTCTGTTTGTGAAAATTATACTGAGTGGTGCTCCTGGCCCACTGAGCAGAGACTGGTCAGATGCTTTCATTTCATTCTCACATTTCTCCAACTAGTTCATTGTAGATGCTTCCAAAGAGTTCTTAGTTTCTTCCCCAACTTTTTGAGGGGGGCTGGTATGAGGGTTTGAACTCATGGTATCTCATTTGCTCAGCTTTTTTGTTTAGCTGGTGTTCTATCACTTGGGCCACGTGTTTAGCCTGGCTTTTTGCTAGTTATTTTGGAGATGGACTCCTTCAATTTTTTTCCCCAAAGCTGGCTTTAATCCACAATCTTCTAGATCTCAACCTGATGAGTAGCTAGGATGACAAATATGAGCCACAGGCACCTAGCTTTTTCCCAAATATTTTTGCCTGTCACCCTGTTTGTCACTCTTCTTTGTAAGGAATTACTAATGTGCAATTCTAATTTGACAACAATAAATATAAACATAACGGGATGTATTCATTTTGACTAGGAAAATAAATTTGAGCAGACATTGGTTATCCATGCTAGTCATACCAGTAGTTGGAAGGCTGTGGCAGGAGGATTAATTTAAATTATTTTTAAATGAATAAATAAATGCCAGGAACCAGTGGCCCAGGTCTATAATCCTACTACTCAGGAGGCTGAGATCTGAGGGTTATGGTTACAAGACATCCCCAGTAAGAAAGTCCATGAGACCCTTATCTCTAATTAATCACCAAAAAGCTAAAGTAAAGCTGTGGCTCAGGTGAGCAGCTAAGCCCTGAGTTCAAGTCTCAAGACTGGTGCACATAACACACATATGCACACACACATCCAAAAGGATTAAGCTGGGTTATATTCAGTGGTAGAATACTTGCCTAGCAGGGGTAAGGTTTTAGGTTCAACACCAGCATAAATAAAATAAAATAAAACAAAATTCAGAAGAAATAAATTGTAGTAATCTTTAAGTTCATTTTTTTCCAAAATTATGAATACCAAAGCAAAAGTTTATTGAAACTGGTATCTATGCTTGTATAAATTCACTGATTTAATGGCTGGTACAATGCTGGTTAGCCAGAACATTTGTTTCCTATGACACTTGACATTGTTCTATCAAGTGTGGAACATGGGCCATAGGAGACATGGATCTCCTGGTAGGGTGGGTGAAATGGCTGACAAAGAATTATGAATTGTCAAGGAGAGATGCTCAGGACTAAGCAATACACTACCTTCAGAAGCAATAGGTAGTATGTACTTAATATCAAATTAGCTTTCTTTGTAGATGGGAGAAAGGCTTAATATGCACAGAATAAAAGAAAGCCAGATAAAATATTATAGCAAGTACTCACTGTACGTGGTTAGTTTACTTCTGTGGAAATTTAATATCAATAAAAGCATGCGTGGGGGTGAGGTTATAGCTAAGCATGTGCTTAGCATGCAAAATCTCTTAGTTTGATCCCATGAACATCTGTGACAAGAAAGCGCAGTGTGACAGGAGAATTTACGAACAGAGGAGTGTGAATCATCAGAGGGGAGGTTGTATAAAGAACCTTCCAGTGAGGAACAGTCGGTGGTCTATATGAAGTTTCTGCTGAATGTGTCTGGAAAAAACACTGTACCTTAGGGAGAAGGTAATGGTTTACCAAAATATTTTTCATCCTAAATGCTGACTGGCTTGTTGCTACCTCTGCTCACTGAAGCTCTTCTGGGAAGCATCTTGCAGAAGGACCACTTACAGAACACAGTGACTACATTATAAATGCATAAAGGACAGGAAAGCTTTTGAGTCTGAGATACTATATTCTGAATTTAAGTTGAGTCGTGATGGCGACTTCATAAACAGTTTTACTCATTCTCCACTTTAAAATACTTATTGGTAATGTGCTTCAGTTATGAAGAGGCTAATGTCGTTATTTTAGTATTTAAAAATAAGTAAAGTGTAAATTCTTTAACAATTGAAGCACGTGGTATGTGAATCTCTAAAGAAATGGCTTAATAGTTCTCTATTGGAATTTCTGACTGGCAATTCTTATCTGAAAACCTAATTGGTATAAGAATTTATGTCATAAATATGGATGCCACATAATTCCCAACTAGAATGAGGACTGCTGGGTGAGTAACAACATTGTTATTTAATGGGCAGGCCTCAAAAAATTCGTTTCTACTTTAAAAATTCAGAATTCAAGCCAGTTGACAGAATTTGGGGGTACAATTTAGAATTTACAGAAGAAAAATACATGACTCTCTTACTAGTGGACTGGCTTTGGCATTACATAAAAAATTGGCAAGTGAATGGGGATGTTCTAATTTTAAAATATCAGTTACATGTCACACATACACATAACTGTTAATTATGACACTTCCTGCCTTTGATGGAATAGTTAGTGGCCATTTGTGTTATGTAAGAAGACTTCCATATTCATAAATCATGGAATATGTAAATGTCAATACTGGGGATTTAAGAATACTGAAGAACTTTACAACTCTCCATAAAGAATGGTAGAACTTGGTAAAGTGACAGCAGACAGTGGGATTTTTAGAAGATTAGATTCCTACTTGGCAGAGCTGAAATCTCGAAGTCTCACACAAGTTAAACCAGTATTTTCCGGGAAGGTAATTCTTTTTTTTATTTACTATTTATTTTTGAGACGGGGCCTTATTATACAGTCTGAGCTGGCCTCAAAACAATGCTCGACAAGAAATATACTCATAGCTTTACTCATGTAACTGTAACCCCTCTGTACAGCATCTTTACAATAAAATAAAAAACTGTAATCCTTCTCTTCTGTCTTCTGAGTACTATTTTCCAGGTATATGTCACCACACTTGCCTTTTAAGGATGACATTGTGGTCAAGATGGGAAGTGATCACCAAAGACCCATGAATTGAAGGCTTGGTCTCTAATGTAATATTCACAGGTGAGTCTTTAGGGATATGATCAGCTCATAGGACTTTCACCCAATCAATGGATTACTGATGGATTCATAATTTGATGACATTAGTGGGAGGTAGTAGGATCTAGAGGATGGAGCCTTGTTGGAGGAAGTAGATTGATGCAGGTATGCTTATGAAGCATATATTTGTCCCCTGTCCCTTCCTCTCTTGCTCTTGCTTCCTGGCCACCATGAAGCGAGTAGATTTTTTCTACCTTGCTTTTCCCCTGTAATGTTTCTGCCTTGCCATGGATTTAAAGACAAGGACTATCTGACCTTGGGCTGAAACTCTAAAACCATAAGCCAAAAGTAATCTTATCCCTTTTTAAATTGCTTACCTGAGGTATTTTGTCAGGGTGATGAAAAGTGAATGTCACAAAGAGAAATACAAGAGAAGAAACTTACTTTTCCATTTCACCAAAGAAATATAAATCATTAATTGCAAAGTTGACAATGATAATCCTGTGTCCATATATCCGGCGCCTTGTGAGGGCTCCTTCTCCATTCTCAGATTCTGTGTTCCGAGAACCTGGGGACACTGGGGTTGGCCGTCCTGATGGAGTAGGGGATGAGGTGATGTCTAGGAAAGAAAGAGGAAGAAAGTCCAATCTGGTTTGATCAAGACCCTTGCAAACCGGTTAGCCTTTAACCTGGGTGAAATACGGTGAAGGAAGGAGACTGTGGCCCAACCCCATGGGTCTGTGGAAGAGACACTCCTAATCATTGGGTGTCACTGCAAAGACTTGGAGAGCTGAGCATAGAGATGTGATCAACTTCTAAATGGGGAATGTGTGGGGTTGAGAGCAGAGTCCAGGTGGAAGAGCGTTTTTCTAGCAAGCATTTTTCACGCACGCATGCATGCACACACACACACACAGAAGAACCTTGTCTATAATAAAGTCCTGCCCGTAGAAGTATAATCAAATGTCTGTGCATGTATGCTCACACACAGAGATGACCACAAGAATGTTTATTGAACTATAAACAATAGTTATTTTGGGTTCTAGTCAAGTGGAGAGTACAGTTTGGACAATTCTTGTTTCAGGCAAGTAATGTAGAATTGGACAAACAACATAAAGAAAAAAGCCAAACTTATGAGATGAAGAAATTCATTGAAAAAGCAGAGAGAAAGCTAGAGCACAAGATAGATAAGAATAAGTAAAGGGGGACAGAGAAAGTTCTAGAAGATGTAGATTGCCTAAGCTGTGTGCTGTATCCTTGGCATCTAGCAGAGTGCCACACAGAGGGTCCCCAAAAAACACTGTGAGTGAAGGAATTTGTGAATGAAATAGTTGGCTGTATATATTCAGTGGACCCTTTAGAGAAGAAAAAAACAAGTACAAGATGTATACTGACATTTAAAAAAAATGTCCAGGATACAACATTAAGGAAACAGCAAGTTACAAATAGAAGTTATGGCATTTTGTGAGAAGGGAGGGGAAATTGGCAGGTAGGTTTATGAAGCATTAACAATGTTCTCTCTCTCTCTCAGTGGTACTGGGATTTGAAGTTAGGTCCTCTTGATGGCTCAGCTTATTTGGCTGGTGCTCTACTATTTAAACCACACCTCTAGCCCAGCCTCTGCCAGTAATTTTAGAGGCAAAATCTCATGAACTTGGGCTGGGAAGGTGGCTCAGTGGTAGAGCACTTGCCTTGCATGCTCAAGGCCTTGGGTTCGATTCCTCAGCACCACATAAGCAAAAAGAAAAAAGCTGGAAGTGGTGCTGTGGCTCAAGTGGTAGAGCGCTAGCCTTGAGCTGAAGAGCTGAGGGACAGCACCCAGACCCAGAGTTCAGGCCCCACGACCGGACCCAAAAAAAAAAAAATCTCATGAACTTTTCTACCCAGACTAACTTTGAAGAATGAACCTCTGGATCTTAGTCTCCTGAGTAGATAGAATTCCAGGCTTGAGCTACTAGAGTCGAACAGCAATTTTATCTCATAGGGGAATTTTTACCTGTACCCCCGCCCCCCACCACATTTAAATATATATTATATATATGTGTGTGTGTGTATATGTATTGTATATATGTGTGTGTACTCATTTTTATTACCTATTTTAGAAGCATATATTAATTTCACAGGTAGAAAAATATTCTCAAAGAATTTTTAAGACAAAATAAACAACTCAAGGAAATGGTTTTAAAAAAATGTGAGACCCCGCAGTTCTTTAAATTATTGGTTGTCCACATGCTGGCTGGCTCCCAGAGCAGAGGTCCAGCACGTCTAAGCATAGCTTGGTACCGGGGACCTGGGGTTTTTGCTTGTTCTAGGCTGCTGCAGGCCTGACACAGCAACGTACACTGCAGCTACTTATTTGGGCTAAGCCTAGGTTGAGATCCCATCAATAAAGTGGAATAAACTTACTTTCTTTGACATTATACATTTCCTGGTGAAGAAAGTCTACAAATTCCTGGAGCTTCAAAGGGTTTGACAACCATCTGCGGTACTTGCAGAAACACTTGATGAAGGCGACCATTTTCAGCCAGCCTTTCTCCTTGAGAGGAAAAACAGGGACTTGATATAATAATTAGTTCACCACTATGTACCAGTATCTTGGCATCTATCACATTTAAAACCCTTATAATATGTCTGAGACAAGCAGAAAAGGTCAGATAAGTTGATGTTAGGTAAAATTAACCCCAGGATAAGGATTCAAATGTTTTTTCTTTCTTGCAATTGCTTCTAACATATTTATAAGACGATTTCTTTGTTGCTTTGTATGTCCCTCCCCCACAGTATAACCCCTGTTTTCACTGTATTTGATACTGGTATAATTTGTGGAGGGGAAGGGAAAAAACAAATTGTTTAAATAGGGAAACACGTGGACCCATTGCAACAATCAGATGTACAAGTCGTTATGTTGAAAAACGAACTTTAGGGCTGGGAAGTTGTCTCAGTGGTAGAGTGCTTGCCTTGCATGCCTGAGGCCCTGGGTTCGATTCCTCAGCACCACATAAGCAAAAAAAGAAAAGACCCAGAAGTGGTGCTGTGACTCAAGTGGTAGAGCACTAGCCTTGAGCTAAAGAGCTGAGGGACAGCGCCCAGGCCCAGAGTTCAGGCCCCAGGACTGGACCTCCCCCCAAAAAAAAGAAAAGAAAGAAAAACGAACTTTACAACTTTGGGCAGGGGGTGGGAGGTGTTGTGGGGGGGAGAGATGGGAAGGGATGGGAAGGGGAAACAAAGGAGGAGGCAATGCTTGATAAGAAATGTACTCATTACCTTGTTCATGTAATTGTAACCCCTCTGTACCATATTGTCACAATAAAAAATTAAAACAAAAACAAAACCCTTATAATAAGCCAGATACTAGCAGCTCATGCCTGTAATTCTAGCTACTTGCAGGGCAGAGATCTGAGGATCCAGATTAAAGCCAGACCAGGCAGAAAAATCCATAAGACTCATCTCCAGTTATCCAGCAAAAACAAAACAAAACAAAAAAATCCAACAGAAGTGGAGGTGTGGCTCAAGTGGTAGAGTTCCAGCTTTGAGTAAAAATTCCAAGAGCTCAAAGTCTCGAGTTCAGTGTCTAATACCAACACACACACACACACACACACACACCAACAAAATAAAAGTTCTCATCAAAGGAGTAGCTCCAATTGAAAGATGAGGAAACTCAGGTCAGAGAATAACATGTCTCAGAGTTAGAAGCTGTGGGAGGAGGATTCTGTCCGTATTCTGGCATAGCAAGAGCTTCTGATCCTGCCTCTGCTACCCCTCTTTCAACAGTGATATGTGGGAATGCTGAGAATGAGAGAGGGAAGAAACAAGCCAGAGAAAAATGCCACTCAGGTAAAGGGCTGAATGGCTCAGACGGGTTTTGAAATGTTGTAATAAGGAAATGAGTAAAGCCATAGCTGAACATTTTTTAAAATGCATCAACTCACAACTCACAACACACACACACACACACACACACACACACGTGCACAGGAATATACTTTTTGTGTTCCTTCCTCTCTGGTTTTACTTCCAGCTCAATGGCTACTGACAGCCAGAAAGAATGTTGGCCAACAAGTTCAGTGGTTTCAGTCTACAGAGAAGGAACAACAAAGTGTGGAGTCCAGTACAGGAAGTACTGGGCTGCTGAAACTTCCAGTCTTAGAACCAGCTTCTTGACAATTGTATCATTTGGGTCAGTTTGCTTGACCCAGTGTCTGAGATCTGAAGATTAAGATTCAAAGCTAGCCCAGGCAAGAAAGTCTGTGAGATTCTTATTGCGAGTCAACCACCAAAAAGCTAGAAGTGGAGCTGTGGCTCAAGTGGTAGAACTCCAGATCTGAGTGCAAAAAGCTAAGGGGCAGCACACAGGTCTGAGTTCAAGCCCCAGTTGCCTGGGGGGGGGTGGGGGGTGGTATACTGCTGCATTCAAGCATCCTGCCGGTCACTGAGGTGCTTTAAGTACATACTGGTTTCCTTTAAGTTTAACTAGAGTTCCTGGGGTTAAACCAAGCACCGTAGCTCTGTGCATATTACTCTTCTATTCTTCTTTGTTTATTTTGCTTTAGTTATTTTTTAGAAAGTCTCTTGCTTTGGCCCAGGCCTTCCCACTTACAGTCTCACATGGCTGGGACTCCAGGCATGCACACGCATGCCCAGCCATGACATTATTCTTTTAAGCTTCCTGGGTGCTTATAGTGCCCCCAGAGAGTCGGCTCTTACACAGAAGAGATAGGACAGAGTGGCTCCTTTTCTTTTCTAAAGTAGTGGATCGGGGCTGGGAAGGTGGCTCAGTGGTAGAGCGTTTGCCTTGCATGCATGAGGCCCTGGATTCGATTCCTCCGCACCACATAAGCAAAAAGAAAAAAAGCCGGAAGTGGCGCTGTGGCTCAAGTGGTAGAGCGCTAGCCTTGAGCTCAAGAGCTGAGGGACGGCGCCCAGGTCCAAAGTTCAGGCCCCACGACTGGACCCAAAAAAAAAAAAAAGTGGATCAATGCATCTTGCCGCTATGTTTAGTGATATTTTAGCAGGATCTTTGCACTCAGGTAACACTGGACTTAATTTTTTTCCTGATCCGAGGGCTTGAACTCAGGGCCTGGATGCTGTCCTTGAATTACGTCTGCTTAAGGCTAGCGCTGTACTGCACCACTATGAGCCACAGCTCCACTTCTGGTTTTCTGGTGGTTAATTGGAGATAAGAGTCTCATGGACTTTCATGGCTGGGCTGGCTTTGAAACTTGATCCTCAGATCTCAGCCTCCTGAGTAGCTAGGATTACAGGTGGGAGCCACAGGCACCTAACTAGAACTCAAATGTTTCTCTGATCTATTTGACTTTGAAACACATTGAGTGAGAGAATTTTTAACAGGAGACAGGTATTTTACTTTCCAAACACAAAAGAAGACTTGCCTAAGTAACATTCTTGTTTCCTGTTTCTCCCTGCACCCCTCTTTTTTTTTTCTGTTATGGGGACAAGAAATGAACTAGGTCATCATGAGTAGACAGGAGTGAGCATGCTCTGTTTGCTGGGAGCTGCCTGTCTACAGAACATTGCCCCCCGGTCAGACAGTGAGGTGCTCGACTTCGTAGTAGGGTCTTCAGTTCTAGTGAACAGTTTTGTAAACCAGTCTAATTTGGGTGCAGAGTAGATTAGTGAAGCCACTTGGCCATATGACTGGTGACTGGACAGCCCAGGTCTGACGAATAAGCCCGTGGCAGTTAATGAACAGCTTCATGGCTCTGTGTCTAACCCTCATGTTCATCTCCCAGTTGGTTCTGAGTTTACAGGAGAGAAGGGGACTTCAATGCCCAGTATAACAACTTCTCTCAACCTCTGATTCTTCTGTCTTTCTTGGCCTCCAAGGCCAAGAAAGTTTTCAAGTTCTTTCTTACTCACCTGGCATTTCTGTAGGTTGACGGCTGTCTTCGAGGGCTTCCTAGGGAAAGCTGGTACCAATGGTTCTAACTCTGTAATAACACGAGCTGGGAACAGTTGCTGGTATTCTACTAACCTGACAGAAGAAGGATCAAGAGCATCAACGGATTCTCGTGGATATGCCCACCAATACATGACAGGATGAAGAAAATGTAGTACATATATATATATATATAATATATATATATATATTATATATATAGTGGACAATTGTTCAGCCGTAAGAAAAGAATAACATTGCTATTGGTAGCAAAATGGATGGAAGTACCAATTATCATGTTAAGCGAAATAAACAAAGCTCAGTAAAACAAATAATCACATTTTTACTAATCTGTAGAATCTAGATCCACTTCCCAAATATGGGGTAATTGTAAAACAGGGACTGTTTTATGGTGAAAGAACTAGTATTCTGAGGAGATGGTGTTGGATGTGAATATTATAGTAGTATATTGACATGTATGAATATAAGTGTAGATATATGACTAACTCAAAATTGTCAAAATGCAGGGGGAAACGAGGGAAGGTAGCCATGAAAGAGGAATAAAAGGAGTGAATTTGGTCAAAGTATATATACATATTTTAAATATCACAATAAAACACCTTGATACAATTAATTTGTAATAATAATATATATATTAAAAAAAATTTTTTGGGTCTGGTCGTGGGGCCTGAACTCTGGGCCTGGGCGCTGTCCCTCAGCTCTTCAGCTCAAGGCTAGCACTCTACTACTTGAGCCACAGCGCCACTTCGGCTTTTTTCTTTTTTGCCTATGTGGTGCTGAAGAATCGAACCCAGGGCCTCAGGCATGCAAGGCAAGCGCTCTACCACTGAGCCACCTTCCCAGTCCCAATAGTATATATTTTTAAGTATAGCAAAGAAGGAAACAACTTGACATATCTAATAGCCAATAGTAAACTTTCCCTCAGCTTTTGGAGGTAGCTGCTGTGAGCAGGGAAAAAACAGTAACACTCAAAATACTCTTTCTGTGTGTTTGTCTGTGCTGGTCCTGGGATTTGAACTCAAGGCTTGGCTGCTATTCCTGAGCTTTTGTGCTCAAAGCTAATGCTCTATCAGTTGAGCCACAGTTCCACTTCTGGCTTCTGGTGGCTAATTGGAGATAAGAATCCAGACTTTTCTTCCCAGGCTGGCTTTGAACCATGATCGTCAGATCTCAGCTTCCTGAGTAGCTAGGATAATAGACATGAGCCACCATCATAGGGCTTCAAAAGTCTTCCTGTGATCATGTTAATGCTTTACTAATGTCATCTTGTCTTTTCTTTTTTTTTTTATACTAAAGTTTTATTCCTCTCCACAATGTTTCTTTTCTTCCACAAGGTTTTTTTCATAACAATATAAAACTTTGATGCCTTGTCTTGAGTGGTGACACAACTCAGCCTGAACCCGTATTCTGAAATCAAACTTTCCTTTGAACTATTCTGTTGCATTGTTTTTCTTTTCTTTTCTATTTTTTTTGGGGGGGGGTCTGGTTGTGGGGCCTGAACTCTGGGCCTGGGTGCTGTCCCTCAGCTCTTCAGCTCAAGGCTAGCGTTCTACCACTTGAGCCACAGCGCCACTTCCGGCTTTTTTCTTTTTGCTTATGTGGTGCTGAGGAATCGAACCCAGGGCCTCAGGCATGTAAGGCAAGTGCTCTACTGAGCCACCTTCCCAGCCCCTGCATTGTTTTTCTTTCATGAGCCATTTTTTGGAGCATAATATAATATTGATGAATTATAGCTTTTTTTTTCTGGAAGAGTCCTACTAAAAGATCTAAATTAAATCTTGCCTTTCCAAGTTATTTTTTAGGAATCTATATGCTAATTTCACTTATGTAATAATTCCATGCTTCTGGAATTTATATGTTGAATTTTGGCCTGTCTTTTCTGATCAACAACGTGTTAGCAATGAGATAGATTGTGTGATTGTGTAATGCATGTGTGTGTGTGTGTGTGTGTGTGTGTGTGTGTGTGTGATGTGGTGTGTCCTGTGGGCAGAAAGGAAATTGTGCTATTCCTGTTGGAGCAGATATCTGGCAATAAGAATTGGGTTAGGAGACCTTTGATGACTACATCTTTACCTAGAAGAAATGGCTGCCTCCCCGACATACTCACCACTTTTCTTCCAGAGATTTCATCACGCAGCCCTGGAGCATTAACAAGGCTGTGGTGGTGACTTCTCGCATTTGCGAGATTTCCTTCACTACAGGGGCATCGCACTGCAGCAATTCCTCTGTAAAGGAGGGGGCGGGGGAGACGGGGGTGGGGGGTGGGGGGGGAAACTGTTCTGGACTCCCAATGCTGAGGAGTCTTGGGAGTCCATTGCAATCTCCCAGAATCCTGTGCTCTCTATAGTCCTATTCTGTGCCCACCACAATTAGAAAAATCTTCCATGTGTACTGGGAATGTTACATGCAAATGCCTTTGTATCTAAACATGTTAATCCCATTCCACTTGTCAAAGATGAGGACTTTGGGAAAAATAAAGTTGTTAATGACTCTTTTCTGCCATTGGTATGATTCTTTTGATTTAGGAAGGTAAGAGTAAAGAATTAAAATTAAATTTCTGGGGCAGAGAGAGAACTCAAAGTAACAAATACATATACTAAGCACAACAGGTGTTTGCAAGTGGCACCTTCTTTAGTGAGACTTGAAGAACATATTAGGGAGAGGAAAAGACAACAAAAAAACATTAATAAAAGAGAACTTGACATGGTAAGATGCAACCAATACTTTGTTAGAAATGAAGATTTGCTGATACAGGCCTAGTGCACATGACTATAATCCTAGCTCTTGGCAGGCTGAGATAGGGAAACCCTAAATTCAAGCTAGCCTGGGCTACATAGCAGGATCCTGCCTCAAAAATGTTTTTACAAAACAGCAAAAGGCTTCGTAATTTTACCTCTTTCTCTGTTTTTACATGTAGGCCCTTATCTTGGCTAACAGCAAGCAAAAATCACCCCAAGTCCCCATTCTCTTCACTGGTGACCAAAGAGAAAGCTCTAGCTTTGCTTTGCATATAGATTTGCTGACACCCCCCCCCCATGGAGTTGTGCTCACTACCCTCCAATGTTTCTTTAGACAATTTACTTGCAACCTCTGTTTTTTGCCCACATGAGGTTTCATGGACCATGTTTACCTTTCCACTTTAGACAAGAAAACAAGACAAAACTTCTGAAAGATTCTCACACAAATAGTTCTTTTACCTAGCACAATTCCCAATTTGTTGAGGGCATACACTGCAGTTTTACACATAACCAGCCCTGGCCTGTGTATCTAACTGTCGCCTTGATTTGATAGTCATATGGCTCATGCCTATAATCCTAGCTACTCAGCAGGCTAAGTGCTGAGGACCATGGTTTGAAGCCAGCTTGGGTAGGAAAGTCTATGAACCTATCTGCAATTAATCACTAAAAAGCCAGAAGTGGAGCTGGGACTCAAGTATCAACTTTGAATAAAAAAAGGTAAGGGACAGTGCCCAGGTCCTGAGTTCATGCTCTAGCACAATAGAAATAATAAAAATAAAACAGGAAGTATAGCTATTTATCCCTAGCTTGCATGGATTTGATTAAGTTGTACTGTTTGGATAAAATGAAACAAGAGGATAGATGTGGCTGTATCTTGTAATCCTTTGCTACTTTGGATTTGTTGTTGTCTGGTTTCACTACTGGAGACTTGTCTCGATACTGCCCCCGTGTGGCCACTGCTCAGTTTGGCTCAATCTGGGAGATTCCAGATACTGTTCCTAGAATCTAAGGGAAGAAAGCTGGGCCTGGGGCGGGGAGGGGGCGGGATGAGGGAGGGGGGGGATGCATACCAGGAGGGACATCGCTACGGAAGAAAGTCTTGGTTAAATTTTCCAGTTCCGCCTTGTAAATCTTTTCATTCGTCTCTGTAGTGACCTTTTGTACGGCTAACAAGAATTTTAGTGGGGCTTCAGAGTCCCGGTCTCTGAGAAACTCCCTGAAGAAATCCAAGTGCTGTGGATTTAGGATGATTTCTGGAAAGTTTCTAGAAAATAAGAGAGTGTTATTAGTGGTGGAAAAAAGAATGAGGAACCTAAATTTTGTTCTGATTAGAAAATGGGGCTGTAGGATTTTTACCCATGTGAGAAGAGCCTTGTGGAGAGGTTGATTGTCTATTCTCTTGGAGACAAACTTGAACTTTGAACTATCCTTCCCCTAAGATCAGAAAAATCATTCAACAACTTCAATGGAAGAAGAGGGGAGATATTTTTAAGGGGCAATTTGTTTTTCCAAAGGAAATGTGTCTTCCATTATAGATTCAAAACAACTCCCAACTGGCACAGTCATTTCTATGAAGCAGAATATGATTATCAGTAATTGATTTATATTTCTAAGTTCCATTTACTGATTTCCTCTTCTATTGCTCCTCAAATAGAGTTAATTCAAATGTCTCATATGCAAATTTCCTCTGGCTTTATGTTTTTTCCTGGACAATTTGTGCTTTCTCTGTGGTTCTGATTTTTATTGATAATGATGAAAAGTACCTCTAGTTTTTATTAGATCCATTCCCAGATTTCAATTTCTCTGGGAGTATCATCTTTATGTCAGTTTTTGTTTCAAGTACTCTACATAGAGCTACCTGTTGAGCAATTTGTTCTTTCTTCTTATGCATGAATTAGCCATACGGATTTATTTTTATCTCATTTTTTATTGTAAAGGTGATGTACAGATGGGTTACAGTTACATAAGTCACGTAATGAGTACATTTCTTTGTAAACAAGGGTCACCCTCCCAAACCTCCCCCACCCCAAGTTGTATAGTTCATTTCTAACATAGTGTCTAGTGAATTTCTAACATAGTGTCTAGTGTCACTGCTGAATTAGTTCACCCTTTGTACCACTATTTCTGTGCTTCCCCTTCCCCTTCGCCAAACAGATATAAACTTACATACAAAACAAAAAGTATAGAAATAAAAAGCAGGGACAAAGGGGGAAAATTTTTTAAAAGATAAAAAAAATCACAAAAAGTTTTTAAATTTATCATGTCCAAGTATAATATATTTTGTTTTTTTACTATCCATTGTGTTGTAGATTTAAAAGCACATTCTAATTACTACATCTGAGGGAAACCATGCAACCTATGTTTTTTTGGGTCTGGCTTACTTTGCTTAATATAATTTTTTCTAAGTCTTTCCATTTCCTTACAAAGGTGGCAATGTCATTCTTTCTGATGGAAACACAGAATTGCATTGTGTACATATACTACATTTTCTTGATCCATTCTTCCACTGACAGGCATCTGGACTGATTCCATATTTTAGAGGTGGTAAACAATGCTGCAATGAACATAGTTGTGCTGGTAGCTTTAGTGTGGCCTGGTTTGTGGTCAATTGGATAAATGCCCAGGAGTGGAATTGCTGGGTCATAGGGATGCTCTATGTTTAGTCTTTTGAGGAACCTCAATATTACTTTCCAGAGTGGTTGAAAAAGTTAACGTTTCCTTTTGATCACATCCCGCCAGCATCTGTGATAATAAGTTTTTTTGATAATAGACAATTCTAACTGGGATGAGGTGGAATCTCAATGTTGTTTTGATTCACATTTCCTTTATGACCAGAGATGTTGAACATCTTTTTATGTGTCTATTGGCCATTCTTACTTCTTATTCTGAGAAGTTTCTCTTTAGGTCATTAGCCAGTTTATTGAGTTGTTGCTGCTTTGAGGATTTGTTTCTTGTGGGGGGTTAGTTTTTTGAGCTCTAAGTTTATTTTAGATATGAGGTCTTTGTCTGATGCATAGCTAGTAAAGATTTTCTATTCTGTGGGCTTTCTATTTATCTTGCTAGCTATGTCCTTTGCCCTGCAGAAAGTCTTCAGTTTGATGCAATCCCATATATCCAGTCTTTCTGTGATTTGTTGTGATTCTGGATCTTTACTTAGGAAGTTTTGGACCCATGCCTAGGAACCCTTATGTTTCCTCTATCCCTTCTTGTAATATTTTCAAGATAATGGCCTTACATTGAGGTATTTGGTCCATTTGGAATTGATTCTGTTGCAGGGTGATATATAAGAATCTAACTTCAGTTTTCTACACGTGTATAGCCAATTCTGTCACCACCATTTGTTAAATGGCATAAACCGCCAGTGTCTGGTTGCAACGTGTAGAATTTTAAATGACTAAACATATCACTTTTATTTGATTGAGCTTAAGGAACACCCAGTATTAACACAACTTTTAATTTTTTGTTGCTGTACATTTATTCACATTTTCAACTTCTTGAATCTCTTTCAGTAATTTGAATATCTGCAGAAGTTTATTACATCTGAGTTATCTAATTTGTTCCTTATTAATTGCTATCTTTGGGCCATCTCTTCAGCACATGGAGAGGGTTTGACCTTACCCCTCACACACTTCCACATCTTTGTAATTGAATTCCGACGTACAGTTCAGGGCCTCTTCTGATACTCTAAACGTTCCCTGATCCTTACACAAAAGTCCTCTGTGTTCTCTCAAAACATTGTAAGGTCAGCCTTGTGTTTTATTCAGGTGTATGCTGGATTAGCAACAAGGACTGTATCTTTTTCTTTCTTTCTTTCTTTTTTCCCTTTTTATGGCTCTATAGTGCTTACTGGATGTCTGGGACATGGTTTGTAATCCATGATGTCATTATGTTGAATTTGGGCTGGGGTAAGGCATAAGCAAATTGTGCCTGTGGTCATTGATCCTGAGCTACTTGCTGATCACCACAGAGATCTTAACTGAAGTCCTGAGTCTGGACAGGGTGACTGCACATTCCAACTAGTACTTAATGCTTTTAAGAATATGTGGTTTAGAAGACTTCTGTGAAACATACCTTCTACTACAGTGGAAAATAAGTATTTCTATAGATGTGGCAGAAGGCATTGAGTAATACAAAATGGAACAACAAAATGAATGAATGATTGGAATGCAAGGAAGAATTTCCGTTATTTGAAAGGGAGAAAGGCTGACCTAGAAGAAGTCTTGCACTTGCTCACGAGTGCCAAGAGTAGCGGAAAGCATTTCTGTGACTATTTGTACTTTAGGGATTGAGAGTTTCGGGGAGGGGGTGTCCTGGCAGACATAGCATTTGGAGAATGTGGCAGGTAGAGGCGCACTGGGGCTGCAGGGAGAGGAAAGGAAGGCTGGTGCGTTGTCTGAAGGAAAGATCACATGGTTTTGGTGGCACAGAGGCCATCTTTCTGACTGAGGAGAGGCATGGGCCTGCGGAGTGCTTAGGGAACTATTACCCAACTTTACAATCAAAACAAGAACCAACAAAAGCCTCAAGTGGGTAAGGATACTTGTACAAAAATGTTTTTTAGGGTACTATTTATTTGTTTGTTTATTTGGTCGGTCGTGGGGCTTGAACTCTGGGCTTGGGTGCTGTCCCTGTGCTCTTCAGCTCAAGGCGAGCGCTCTACCGCTTGAGCCACAATGCTACTTCTGGCTTTCTAGTGGTTTTATTGGAGATGAGTCTCACAGACTTTCCTGCCTGGGCTGGCTTTGAACTGTGATCCTCAGATCTCAGCCTCCTGCGTAGCTAGGATTACAGGCGTGAGCCACCAGTGCCCGACTTAGGGTACTATTTATAGCCATGAAAAAATTAGACAATTCCATTAAAAGGGTATGGCTAGGCTGGGAAGGTGGCTCAGCGGTAGAGTGCATGCCTTGCAAGCATGAAGCCCTGGGTTCGATTCCTTAGCACCACATAAACAGAAAAAGCCGGAAATGGTGCTGTGGCTCCAGTGGTAGAGCGCTAGCCTTGAGCTGAAGAGCTGAGGGACAGCGCCCAGACCCAGAGTTCAGACTCCATGACTGGCAAAAAAAAGGGGGGGTATGGCTAAAGAAACAATCCATGTACATACTACAAAAGGGAGTAGGTTGAGAAATACTAACAAAATTATGTCCATTAAAGTTGAAAATATTTTGGAAGTACTGAGGTTTGAATTCAAGACCTCATGCTTGCTAATCTGATGCTTATCCATTTGAACCACAACTCCAGCCCTGGTTTTTTTGGTTGGTCATAGGGCTTGAACTCTGGGTCTGGGTGGTGTCCTTCAGCTCTTTAGCTCAAGGCAAGCGCTCTACCACTTGAGCCACAGCACCATTTCCCCTGGTTTTCTTTTGCTGATTATTTTTTTACATAAGGTCTCATGGACTTCTCTGCCTGGGCTTTGCTTTACCCGCAATCCTTCTGCTTTTAGCCTCCCAAGTAGGCTAGGGTTGCAGGTTGTAGCAGGCTCCATGATAGTTTTAAAAAGCTTCTGCATAGCCAGGTGCTGGTGGCTCATGCCTGTAATCCTCGCTACTCAGGAGGCTGAGATCTAAGGATAAAGATAAAGATTTAAAGCCAGCCCAGACAGGAAAGTCTGTGAGACTCTTATCTCTAATTAGCTACCAGAAAACTGTAAGTGGTACTGTGGCTCAAAGTGGTAGAGCGAAGTTTTGAGTGAAAAAGCTCAGGGACAACACCTAGACCATGAGTTCAAGCCCTATGACTGACAAAAAAAAAGTTATTGCATAATATATATTATGTCGTGCCAATTTGAGAAGATAAACAGTAATTTGAAATGCAAATTGTTCTTATTCATATAGGTATAATACATGGAAAAAAGAACTGGGATTCTACACACAGAGGAAAGGTCGTATGTGACAATGTTTCTGTGGCTACAGCCTACATCTTACCTGGGCCGCATTGAAGGCTTCCTCATGCCCACTTTTTTGGGAAGAGACGGTTTCCTGCGTGAAGAGGACACCACCTTTGGCTCCTTGATTATTTTCACTTCAATTTCTAAGGAAAAAAAAAGCACAAGGATTTCCCAGTGTTGTTGGGGAAACACATTTTATGAGTAACATTGTGGAGAATAAGAAGGAACAAAAATAGGAGGGACATTTCTCAGTGGAAATTGGAAAGCCAATGTCTCAGTGCTGAGCACAGACTGTGACATGCTTTGGTCTCAGGGCCAGGCTGTGAATGTGGGCTGTGGGGCCAGAGCACACCCACTTCAGAGACTTCTCATTACATTACTCAACCCCAAATTCCATCCATCTTCCCATCAGCCATTCCAACGGACCCACATGCCAGACAACGTTCTGTCAACTACAGATCCTTGACCTCATCTTTAAGAGTTTCCTTCACCTTGCTTTAGTTAGGACCTTTTTCTTTTGAGGGACACTGATTCCAACTGCAATGGTAGACTACTACATTGCACATGATTCAGGTCTGAGTCTGGTTCTCTATATACACACACAGAGAACCATTGTTCTAAGAAGTATATTAAAACACCATTTTTAAAAGAAATACTAGATCTCATGGATATTAGTATTTATAAGAGCCCTTCAGGGGTAATGTTTTAGAATAAAAATACAGGCCTATGAACTCACCTGGAGTGGGGATGGTGTTATTGATCATCATTGCCAGAAAGTAGCATTTGACCTCATCATAGTCAGTACTTTAACATGTCCACTAAGTAGAATGTACATGCAGAGGAAGTTTGATGCCATTTGATGATACTTTCAGAGACAGACATCTGACAGAAAGGGCTGAGCCTTGTGCCACTGGCTACACTTTTAATTCTAGATAGTTAGGAGGCTAAGCTCTGAAGATTGAAGTTCAAAGCCAGTCTGGGAGGAAAGTTTTTGAGACTCCATTTTCAGTTAACCAGCAAAATGCTTAATTGGTGGTATGGTTCAAGTGGCAGCTCACCAGCCAGCCATGAGAGAAAAAGTTGAATGAGAGTGTGAGGCTCTGAGTTGAGGTTCCAATACCCCTTCCTCTTACTCACACAAAGAGAAATGAAGTAACAAGAATCACCGGGCGCCAGTGGCTCACACCTAGCTAGTCAGGAGGCTGAGATCTGAGGATCGCAGTTCAAAGCCAAACCCAACAGAAAAGTCTATAAGACTCTTATCTCCAATAAACCTCTCAGAAAGGGCTGGGAAGGTGGCTCAGTGGTAGAGTGCTTGCCTTGCATGCATGAGGCCCTGGGTTCAATTCCTCAGCACCACATAAGTAGAAAAGGCTGGAAATGGGGCTGTGGCTCAAGTGGTAGAGCGCTAGCCTTGAGCTGAAGAACTGAGGGACAGTGCCCAGGCCCAGAGTTCAGGCCCCATGACTGGCAAAAACAAAACAAAAAAAACCTTTCAGAAAATCAGAAGTGGTGCAGTGGCTTAAGTGGTAGAGTGCTAGCCTTGAGCTGAAGAGCTGAGGGACAGGATTCAGGTCCAAAGTTCAAGCCCCATGACTGACTGACGAAAGAGAGAAAGAAAGAAAGAAAGAAAGAAAGAAAGAAAGAAAGAAAGAAAGAAAGAGAATCTATACAGATCTAAGTATATACAAATGAATTGATAAAGAAATGAAATTTAGACTGTGGAAAATTAGATATATATTTTTAAATAGAAAGAAGAATAAAGATAAAAGGAAAACCCAAAAGACTCTCAAAACAACTCTTTCTTAGGATAAACCACTTAGAAATGCTGGTTTAAAAAAAAATCTGCAGGTGCTGGTGGCTCACGCCTGTAACACTAGCTACTCAGGAGGCTGAGATCTGAGGATTGCTGTTCAAAGCCAACCCCAGCAGGAAAGTCCGAGAGACTCATCTCCAATAAACAACCAGAAAACTGGAAATGGTGCTGTGACTCAAGTGCTAGAGTGCTTGCCTTGATCTGAAGAGCTGAGGGGCAGCGCCCAGGCCCAGAGTTCAAGCCGCATGACTAACAAAAAACAAACAAAAAAATCTAAAGTCATAAATAAGTTTGTAAGAAATGAAGACAAAATAAAAACATAACAGAGATTGGCTAAGAAGAGAATACTAAAAGCCAGAAAGGCGGTGGATAACACAGCTGCTGTAGAGGTCCTGCCGGTTCATTCCACAATGAGACACAAAACAAAGCCAAGGGTCTTTAAAAAGAATCAAAGAATTTGCTATTCCAGAGACATTTGGCAATTATGTAAGTTGAGAAATTCAGACAAGCTTTCTGTAGATTCTCAGATGCAATCAAGAATCTCTCTGTCTCTCTCTCCACTCTCTCTGTCTCTCTCCTCCCTCTCTCTCCTCTCTCCCTCTCTTCTCTCCCTCTCCCTCTCCCCCCCCTCTCTCTCTCTCACACACACACACTCATACACACCCCAGGATCAAGTTTTATAGACTCTGAAATTTAATTAAAAGCTTCCAGTAACCAAGGGAAGACTTGGTGAAAGAAGTGATCGCCTTGTGGTAAGAAAGTGCCTAGTATTTTAAACAATCTTCAGGGGTCTTTCCAGCCCCTTTTGTCGGCATGGCCTTAAAGACAGCAGCTCACACTCCTGATGCAGCTCACACTCCTGTCCAAAGCCCATGGACTGTAGCATGTGCTACGAGAAGGAACAGCCATTCTCTCAGCTGCCTGGAGTGTTGGCCGCTGTTGACTCAGAACTCAGGCTTCCTCTGGGAGTTGCCTAGAACGTGTAGCTTGAGTTCCCTATGGTATCGAAGGGGTCTGCTGTGATGGCCACTCTCACAGTTCTGCTTTCCTTACTGTTTCTACGTGTTATTTCAAGAACACCCCTTGATAAACATCCTTCCACAAAGTTCAGACTCCGGGGAAACTTGGCCGGAGATGAATCCACATTGTTTAAAACCCCTAGTGGATAAGAAAGTTAGGAATGAACAATCTTAATCCTTGTTCAATGAATTTATGATTCCCTCTCATTTTCATGGTGCCTCTCCAACAGCTTTGTGGGAGGGGGAAAGACAGTCGTTCATTAACTTTGGACCATATCTCCACTGAAAACAAAATGTGGTTCCTCTTTTGGCTTACGACCTTTGAGAAGACCTAATTAACTTAAATTTACCCCAGAGTTAAAAGACTTGCCTATATGAGGTGCTTTCTCACAATATATTTTGTAGTCCTCACTGATCTTCTCTATAGCCATCTTTGGATTCTTATAGCAGAGTTCTTTAAAGGTCATTTTGTTAAAGTCTGGAAAATAAGGAAGAACAGAGGTAGCTTAATTGTCTGCTCTACGTTCAAAGATTCACTTGCTTTTCTTAAAGATATTGACTTTAAAGGGTTATTTACATAAGGCAATAGGTGTGTGTGTGTTGGTTCTGGGGCTTAAACTCAGAGCTGCCCCTGAGCTTCTTTTGCTTAGGGAGTCACAGCTCCACTTTCAGGTTTGGGGGTACTTTGTTGGAGAGAAAATTGCATGGACTTTCTGGCCTGGGCTGGCTTCACACCATGATCCTCAGACCTCAGTCTCTAGGATTACAGGTGTGAGCCACTGGTGCCTGGCACTTGAAAAGGATAATAGCATTTTAGTATAACACTCACACAAAGAATACAAATTTTCTAAGCCAAATTGGGAGCAAGGAAACACAGTCTCCCTTCCCTTTCAGTCTGAGTGGATACTGCCCTTCTCTGGGCAGCCTAACCCATGGTGGAATGTTAGAAAAATAAAACATACTGAACTCCATGGCGGAGTGTTAGAAAAACAAAACACACTGAACTGATGGCGAATGCAGATACAGGAAGTACTCATGCAAATGAATGTCGATCCCTTCCAGGCAACCATCTGCCACTGCAAGAAGCAGTTGCAAATGAATTTCAAATATTTTTTTGCTTCAAAATTTGTAGTATTTTAGGATAATAACTGTCAAATAATTCATTCTGACACTTCTCGTTGGCTTTGACTTTGGGAATTAATTTCAGAAGTGATAGTTCAGATATCTGAATATCATTAATCACTGCAAATTATTTACTCTGAGGTGAGTTAGATTTCTTTTCTGACAACAGGCAAAATTATTTTGAATAATTTTTTTCTGTAAATTAATAAAACATCTTTTAGTACTCAAAATGCATTTGGACCACAAGACCAAGAGAGGAAGTTCTAATAATGTTTGGGACAATTAAAGCAGAAAAGCAACACGTTGCAGCCTAAAAGATGAAAACCATTATTTGAGCACTGGGGGGTTTGAGCACATCTAATTTCACAGAATTCTTCTGGGACGCTCCTCCAGTTCTAAAGCAATAATTCTGGAGCCTAGAAGGAATCCTGGAGTGAGGATCTATAAAATACAGTTGTCTTGATGCCATCATCATCATCATCATCATCATCATCATGTCAACCAGGTGACTCTGGACCTCAGTGGCAAGGCCAGCAAATTGTTCCTATAGCAAATCCAGGCTTTTAATCCTGGATCCCTCCCCTCCCTGCGGAACAGCCTTGGACAGGGCTTTTCACCTTTCTGACTTTCAGTCTCCTCTCAGAAAACTTGAGAGTATCTTAGCCCCAGTGCTCTATGATCATGTTTGTGGTAGAGTGAGAGTGGAGGTGCCAGACGGCCTGGGAGTCAGGGTTCCCAGCCTGGGAAAATGCCACAGAAGAGCTTTATCAGATCAGACTTGTGCTTCCAAGGAGCAGTGGTGTGTTGAGAGAGGAAGGGAAGTCTGCAGACAAGGCTTCTCACTCCTTCTGGCCACTCTGGCTGTCTATAGCCAATAAAGCAGTGCCCAACATTTCCCAGAATCTGTATGGTGGATTTTTCAGAATACTTTCTTTCAGTGGGGAGGGGGAGGAGGGAGGGTGGTGGAGTAGGGGAGATGGGAAGGGATGGGAAGGGGACACAAAGGAGGAGGCAACAATGCTTCATAAGAAATGTACTCATTACCTTGGCTCATGTAATTGTAACCCCTCTGTATGGTATTTTCACAATAAAAAAAATTAAAAAAATTTAATTTTTTTAAAAAAAGAATACTTTCTTTCACTTTTGTCATGATTCCTGGGAGAAGTTCTGGTTTTATAGAGAAAGTCTGTGCATTCTAGATTTAAATAACCCTTTTCCAAGCATAGGTCTGAAGGGCAAATACACGGGATACCTTAGTAGTACCTAATTCTGTGCATACAATATGTATAAAGAGTGAACATTTGCTTTGTTTTGGTGTGTGTGTGTGTGTGTGTGTGTGTGTGTGTGTGTGTGAGTGTTTTGCCATGGATCAAACCCAGGTCCTCACAAATATTAGGCAAAGACTATAATACTTAGTGACACTTCCAAGCACAATAACAACTTTTTTTTAAAGCATTAATCACTAGGTGCTGGTGGCTTATGCCTATAATGTTAGCTACTCAGGAAGCTGAGATATGAGGATTATAATTTGAAGCCAGGCTTGGTGGGAAAGTCTGTGAAACTATTTCCAATTAACCAACAAAAAGCTGGGAGTGGAGCTTTGGCTCAAGTGATAGTATGCTTTGAATAAAAAGGAACTCAGAACAGTGCTCGCACCCTGAGTATAAGCTCCAGGACTGGCAAGAAAAAAAAATGGTATTATATTTTATTTGGTAATCTACTAAGTACCATTTACTGAGCACCTGTATGTGTGTGTGTAACTATATTGCTTCTAGTTCCCTCCGTAGTCCTGCAAATCACTAGCCATCGTTCCTAATCTCTAGATGAAGAAATGGGGTTCAAAGGGATGAAGCACTTAGTTTTTCTTGTTCCCACTTTAACAGTGGTTTCAAAAGTGTAAGTAATGACTCACTAATACATCCAGAGAGAGACTCCTTGTTTTTGCAACAATAAATGTTAGAGTACATCATCCTATGTCATAACAATAGGTATTACACTATGAAATCTCTGCCGTGTATGTATATACGGGTACACAGTCATGTATTTAGAATAATGAGGTCAAAGCGCTATTTGATGTGGAATAAAGTTTGGGAAAGACTGTAGCTCTCCAACTGCTTCAGCATAGATCATTAAGTCTACTTAAATTTGCATAAGACTGGCCCACATATATTGAACTCTTACCACTGCTATCCACTGTGATAAAGGCCTTATAGATGACCTTCGGTTGCCTGTACAAGAAGTCTGGTATTCTTCAAATCTTATAAATGGGAAAACAGGCAAAGGTTAAATACATTTGGCAAGTCTACAAAATCAATAGTAGGGCTAGGCTATCACCTCAAGCCTCCAGGACAGAAAGCTTTGGGCTCCTAACAATTACTTTCCACTGCCCTGGTCGGCTGTTGTGGTTACGCTAAAGTCAGGAAGTGGCTGCTTGAAGATGTCATAGTTAGGCTCCTGGATCAGATTCTAGAAGAAGCTGGGTGAGGTAGAACAGCAGATGTGTGAAATGGAGTCATCATTGATGACTGTGCTGATACTTGGTTGGCAGGAATTTGCCCAACTTGGAGCTCCAGTAGAGGATGCCATATTAATTCCTTTAGATTTAAATCCTGCCTGGGCCTCTTACTGTGTGACCTTGGGAAGGTCACTTCCTCTCTGCCTGTTCCTCAGTACCTAAGATCAAAATAAAGCAATCTTTGTATGGCATAGGGCTGCAGAATCCCGTAATTATTAGTTAATTATTTTTCCAGTTGCCTATATGTGAGGGTTAAAAAATTAATAACTTTTCTTACCTTCTAGAAACACTGGAGACTTCACTTCTACCTGGAGAGACCCATTTTTCCTCAGGTTCTCAGTGGCTACTGTTTGCCATGCAGGAGAATCCATTTTCTCTATGTTAGCCAAACTCTGGCTTAACTCCAGAGATTCCTGAAGCCGCTTGTAAAGAAAAATGCTGTCTTCTCGGCTTGGAGATTCTTTATTCCACCGGGCTATGACATACCGGCTCTGAGTCTAAGAGGAGGAGAGATGGCAGATAGCACTGTCTACAGGAATTATCTCAAACAAGAGTTTAGAATAACTTGGTCCTCCAAGCCTCCCTGACATAAATTTAATCAGATTTTGTCAGTTGTAGGACTTGAACTCAGAGCCTGGGCACTGTCTCTGAGCGATTTTGCTCTACTATTTTGAGCCACAGCTCCACTTCCGGTCTTCTGGGGGTTAACTGGAGATGAGTCTCACGGGGGCTGGGAAGGTGGCCCAGTGGTAGAGTGTTTACCTTGCATGCATGAGGCTCTCGGTTCGATTCCTCAGCACCACATAAGCAGAAAAAGCCGGAAGTGGCGCTGTGGCTCAAGTGGTAGAGCGCTAGCCTTGAGCTGAAGAGCTGAGAGGCAGCGCCCAGGCCCTGAGTTCAGGCCCCACAATCGGACCCAAGGAAAAAAAAATTTTTTTCTGGACTGGGCCTATGGCTTAGTGGCAAAGTGCTTGCCTAGCATGCATGAAGCCCTGGGTTTGATTCCTCAGTACCACACAAGCAGAAAAAGCTGGAAATGCACTGTGGCTCAAGTGTCAGACTGTTAGCCTTGAGCAAAAGAAGTTCAGGGACAGTGCCCAGGCCCTGAGTTCAAGCCCTAGGACTGGTAACATATATACATACATATATATGTATAAATACATATATATGCATACATACACACATACATATGTTTACATGCATATATACATATATACTCAACATATATTAGTTGTTTGAAGTAAGGTTGATGATATTTCCATACATGCAGATAAGAAACCTTGATCATATCCACCCCCTCTACTACTCTTTCTTATCCTTATACCCTGTCTCTCCTTTTATTACCTTTTTTTTCAAAAAATTTAAATGGGTTTCATTATGACTTTTTCACACACACACACACACACACACACACACACACACACACACATACTGCATTTCCTCATTTTCTCTAAGAGAGAATTTCTATGGGCATCAAAATCAGCTGAGTAGGGGCTGGGAAGGTAGCTCAGTAGTAGAGCGCTAGCCTTGAGCTGAAGAGATGAGGGACAGCGCCCAGGCCCAGAGTTCAGGCCCCATGACTGGACCAAAAAAAAAAAAAATTCAGCTGAGTCTTTTTCCTCGAGAGATTTTTCTTTAGAATACCAAAGACCAAACCAATCTCCAGTGGCCTCTAGGGGAAAAAAAAACCCATCATTTCATTTACTCCAGCAAAGAAGGCTACTAAGATAAAAGTGCCTTCTCCTCCCTCAACCTCATGATTCTTCCTCAACCCAAAGTCTGTCCTACTGTAAAGAGAAGAAACCAGTGGTCCTCTTCATCCAGGAACGCGTCATACCAATGGCTGAGGATCTGAAATCCAAACACAACATGAGCATCATGAGATGAATACTCGCCACATCTTTCTGGTCTTAACTTTGTCATAGAGAAAGCTGTAGATCCTAGATTCTCTCATCTGGAGATCTGGTAGACAGCAAATGTGAGCTACCACCAACCACAAGACAGTCCTTTATTGCTCTGAAGATAGCAGCTCATACAGCTCACAAAGTCTATCGCTAAGTCTTAGACAATATGAATAAATATATTTTGAAAAATATATAATTATAGAATAATTATTTAGCATCTGCATACTACTTGATTCATTCCCAAAGTACTCATTTTGAGTTTCAAAATGTCTTTAAAAATGAAGCAACTTACGTGGTCTATGGGGGGAAGATGTTGAGAGGGGGGAAACACAAATGGATGGAAAATCAGTGAAGACACATTGATTGTATGTTATGTAAAAACTGAACTATGAAACCTGAGGATAGGGACAGGAGAGGAAAGAAGAAAAAGAAAGATGGAAGAAAGATCAAGAGTGACCTGATTTTTGGGATTGAAACCCCTTTTTACAACTACTAAATACAAACAAATAATTCAAAGAAGAAAAAAGAAAGAGTAAATGTTAAGGGTTCCTCATAGATTTCCAGGAATAACTAGAGTGTCCTCACATGGAAACTTATTAAATTCACAAGTTACAAAATATGATTTTATCTCAATTCTCAATTTATACATGATCACAGAAACATGAAAGAGTTTAGACTTTAAGTTTGTCTAAGACATCAGAGCCAAATAACATCAGAGCCAGTATTTAGACCATTGCCACAAGTCAGGAAGTAGATATCAGCTGCTAAGCTAAAGGAACTCACCAAATAATTGTTAATCAGTATAATTGGAGGATACTTGTTGGATGAAATCCAGAAAAGATTGTCCTGGGCAAAGTTAAAAGAAGGGTCATTTCTAGCTGGGACTGACTAGCTCAGCAAATGTAGGTAGTATATGTATTTTCAATGTATATCTTCCCCAGTAATTTTATGTTTTGTTTTTTGATTAGCACCAATTAATTGCTCAGAGAAGTCTCATTTGATCTAAATATGCATGTTTAGTGTTGATACGTGTTACAATGTTATGTCCTTATATTTTGTAGTAAGATTTATGTTTTCATGCACTTTTGTTCTATTGCTTAGCATCTTTTGGTTTCTTGTATAGCACTTGTAGCAGTGGAAAACTCTTTTTTATTTGTCTGGGAAAGTTTTCATTGTTCCTTCACTTTCTTTTTACAAGTATTGGGGTTTGAACTCAAGATCTCACACTTGCTAGGTAGGCGCTCTGTCGCATGAGCCATACCTCTAACCCTATTTGCTTTAGGTTAATTTTCAAACAGGGTCTCTTGGTTTATGTTTGGGAAAGTGCTGAACTGTGATCCTCTACCTATGTGTTCTTTATACTGGGATTATAGGAATGTGTCACCATACCCAGTTTATCCCTTTCTATTTTTTTGTCTTTCTTTTTTTTATTGTTATTGTAAAGGTGATATACAGAGGGCTTACAGTTACATAAGTCAGGTAGTGAGTATTTTTCATTTTGTAGGGTTGGTAGTTATTTTCTTTCAATACACTGAACATATCATCTGAATTGCTCCTTGTCTGCTGGGTTTCTGCTGGTTCATTTGCAGACACTTAAAAAATCTCCCTGGTATATAACAGGTCATTTTTCTCTCACTGCTTCCTAAATTCTCTTTGTGGGCTAACTGATTTGTGTTATTTGGTAGTGGTATTCAGGTTTAAACTCAGGGCCTTGTGCTTGCTAGGCAGGCTCTGTACCACTTAAACCATATCTCCAGCCCTTCTTGTTTTAGTAATTCTTCAAATAGTGTTTTTATGTTTATGTTTCAGCCTAAATCATTCTCTTTCTCTTTACACTTCCTACATAACTGAGATGACAAGAGTATGCCACTATACCAGCTTTTTGTTAGTTCATTTGTGGTCTCATAAAATTTTGTATGGGATAGTGTTTAACTATGAATCTCCCAATCTTTTCCTCTGAGTAGCTGGGATTACAGATATGAGCCACTGCATCTGGCTCTTTGTAGATTTTTAAAAAATAATGTAATGAAAGCATGTTTTAGTGTAAACTCCTTTGGAATCAGTATCATTAGGAAGCCTTGATGCTCATCAATCTGGATGCTCATTTGTTAGCTTCTTGATGTTTTAACTTTTCTTTTTCTTCTCTTCTTCTTCTTCTTCTTCCTCCTCCTCCTTTTTCTTCTTCTTTCTTCTTCTTTTTCTTCTTCTTTGAGTACTGGCCCTGAGTCTTAAACACAGAGCTTTAGTGCTGTCCTTGAGCTTTTTTTTTCTCAAACCTAGCAATTAACCACAGCTCCACGATCAGCTTTTTGGTGGTTCATGGGAGATTCAGCTATTTGGAGATGAATCCTCATATCTTAGCCTCCTGAGTAGTTAGGATTACAGATGTGAGTCACCGGTGCCTAGCATCATTATTTAGATAAACTTTTTGCACCTTTATTTCATCTTCCAAGAATCCACAAATGCATATATAGATTCACTCCAGTGTCACACCATGTCCTGTAGACTCTCTTCACTCTTTTTCTCTGGGTTCTCTACACAGATACTTTTCAAATGGCTCTTCGTTGAATTCACTAATTCTTCTGCTTGAACAAGTTTGCTGTTGAATTTTTCAGTTCAGTCCCCATATTTTTTGTGGTTCTGGGGCTTAACTCAGAGCGTAGGCACAATCTCTCCCACTTAAGCTGTAGCTCCATTTCCAGCTCTTTTTTTTTGGTGGTTAATTGAAGAATATCAAGGACTTTCCTGCCCAGGCTGTCTTTGAATCCACAGCTCTCAGACTCCTGAGTAGCTAAGACTAGACATGATCCACCAGAACCTGGCACAGTTACCACATTCTTGAGAACCATAATTTGTTTGGCTCTTTTTGTAGTTTTTCTTTATTGAATTTCATATTTTGTTTGCATCCTCTTTGCATGATTGTTATCTTTGTTCTCTTGTTGTTGTTTTTTTTGTCTTTTTCTTTTTTGGTACTGGGGATCGAACCCAGGACGTTGCACTTGCTAGGCAAGCGCTTTACCACTGAGCTACATCCCAGCCCTCTCTGGTTGTTTTTTAAACCTGATTATTTTGAATTTTTTGACAAGCAGTTTGTGAATCTCCTTGTTCTTAGCATCAGCTGCTGGGACTTTATTCTCTTTGATAATATCATGCATATTTGATTCTTCATGATCCATATAGTCCTGAACTGGTATGTGTGCATTTAAAGAACTTACCTATTTCCATTTTTAAAGACTAGTTTGGTCAGTAAAAGACCTTAAGCAGCTGTCCCAATCAGAGATTTTTGAGCCAGTCATCTGCTGGTGTTTGTGGTCAAACTTACGACTAGGATCCATCAGTATGTGGATCCACTAGGATCCAATGTGTCTGTGGATAGGTGGAGATAAACCTTTATTCATTGCAGATGGAACTGGAATCTAGTCTGTGGAAAGCTGTGGCTCCTTCTGGATCTGCAAGTGATCACAGCTAGAGCTGAGTCCCAAGTAGACTAGGATGGAGCTGGGTCTGCAGTGTGGCAGGATAGGTCTGGCTGCTGCTGGTCAAGGACAAGGTGTTTCCTTGGGTCTGAGATTAATGGGCATTTTCACAGAAAATAGTATCTACTGGAATCTTAGGAAGTTGATATTCACTCTACAACTGAAGTTGAGCAAGGTAGAATTAGATCACAAGCCTGACTCCACATGCAGCCAGGTCCTGTCAGTGGATATGTTACCAGAGACTTGCAGGTATGATTTCTTCTGGCCCATGGAGGACTGATAGCAGAATCATCAACAAGACAAACTAGGGCTGAGTCCATGGGCAGGGGGGGAGTGGGAGACTAATTCTTGTTCTTCACCTTGGAGTGTAATTGGCAGGCCTGAAACTGGGTGTGCAGACCAGACTTTTCCAAGCAGTTTCCCTTGGTCTTGGGCTCCAGTAGGGTGTCACAAACTCTTGCCTGGGTTCCAAAAGCTTCCATACGTCCAACTGGGTATGGATAGTTTCCACATAATGTTTTTAGTGGGTGAATGAGGGCTGAGGACCTCCCAAGGATGTCATTCTAAGTATCTGTGTATTTAGTGGCAAGTGCTAAGGGGAGAAAGATGAATGTAGGAAAATGGCTAAAGAATGCTTCAATGAGAAGATGTCTCTTGGGTGGAGACTTAAGAGAGCTGAAGATTGAATCCACATGCATGTGTATGGCACACAAGAGCCAAGCCGGAGTGTGCGCAAGTGACAGAACACTGTATGTATGGAGAGGAGTAAATGAAGTCAGAGAGGCGAGGTTAAACACAGATAATAAGAAGGTCTGTTCATTTTAGCAAGGACATTGGATTTTACTGGAAGAAAACTGTGTTAATTGAGGCAGAATGTTATCTTATTTTCAAAGACTTCATTCACTTCCTTTCACCCAATGTCAGTAAAATGACACCAGTGTATTTTGGTAGAATCACAGTGGCTGGTGGAAATCATCCTGCTGAGAGGGGAGGAAAGACATGGAAGCAAAATGTTAGAACACCACTTAATAGTCTAGGAGAGTGGATGGAGCAAGGGCTTCTGGGTAGATATTAAAGTCTGATTCTACAGGTTTTGCCAGAGTATTGGTCATGGGATGGGGCAAAGAAGTAGATCAAAGATGATACTACAGGGCTGGGAAGGTGGCTCAGTGGTAGAGCACTTGCCTTGCATGCCTGAGGCCCTGGGTTCCATTCCTCAGCACCACATAAGCAAAAAGAAAAAAGCTGGAAGTGGTGCTGTAGCTCAAGTGGTAGAGCGCTAGCCTTGAGCTGAAGAACTGAGGGACAGTGCCCAGGCCCAGAGTTCAGACCCCACGACCGGACACGACAAGACAATGTACTCATTGTCTTGCCCATGTAATTGTAACTCCTCTGTATGGTATTTTCATAATAATAAAAAAATTAAAATATATAAATAAATAATAATAAATTAAAAAATTCTGAGTTTCCTGGTTTGGAGAGATTGCCATATAAGGAAGAAGTAAAGAAACAGAAGGTGAATATTGACCACTTCATTCTATTTTGGAGTTTTGTCTGGTCCTAGGTGGTTATAAAACTTACACATTAAGAAACAAACCAGCTCTTCAATATATGAAGATTTGTGTGGATAATTAGATCACTGTTGCTCGTTAATATTGTTAAATATAGATGATCGGACAGGTTTGGGGTCAGATTTGAACTAAATACTAACCTATTTCTTGCAGGCATGTCTTACCTTGCAGATCTCCATCTGGGCCTTGGAGATCCAAGGGTTGGCATCCCCGTAAGGCAGCATCTTCTTCAGGCCCTGAATAGTTTGAGGTGTGAGTGGTAAGCAGGTACCAAGTTGCTCATTCAAGTAGAGCTCACAGATTCTATCACTCAGCATGTGCAGAAAGAATGAATTCCCATTCTTCCTGTTGCTCATCAGAACACTAAGGAAATGGTGCAGGTCTTGCCATAGGTCCAAGAGTAGGGTCTCTACTTTCAAATTCAGTTTTTTCAGGAAGTCCCGGAAAGGACTTCCTGCATAAGCATCGGCACACAAGGCCCAGTAGGTATATCTAAAAGACAGTCTTTGCTTGATCATCTTATTGATTGCCATCTGAGAGGAGTGATTAAAGATAGGGGTGGCTGCTCTTAGGTGGGAAGAGAACTTTGTCTCAAAGAGGCCCTCCATGTGGAGGCTTTTGGGGTTCTTTGGCAGAGTGGGCTTCATGACATCCTTTTCCAGGATACTAATTAATCTCTCATTTGCAGAATCCACTTTCAGGGGAGGCATATGTATTTCCATCTTCTGCTCATTAGAAAACTCTTGCGGGCCCATTGGACAGACATCTGGCTTGGGGACCATTTCCATAGACCAAGAGCCAGGATTGATCAAGTACCACATCTTCCTCTTGATCCTTCTACTTGAGTAGTGCTTTGGGGAGTATTGGGATTTCTTAATGGTCATGTTCAGAGGGAGCCCTCCTGAATGCACAGCGTAAGCATTGAACCGGCGACTCTCATACTCCTGCAGCAGATCATAGCATGCTTCCTCACTGGCCATGGTCATCTTGCCATGGTTATAAAAGTTAGGGAGCCAATAGCTCTGGAGTTTAAACAGAGCTACTTTCTGCATGTGGCTCAGGATCTCTCTTCTGGTGGTTGACTGGTTGGGATGCCAGATGGAGAGGTTCAGGAGGGACTCTGGAAAGAATACAGAGAGTCGAAGAGTGAAAAATCGTGTGACGATGGTGAGGATGAGTTTTTAGATTTTCACACATGTCTTGGTATATAGTATTTCATTCGTCCTGCACAGAATTGTGGGACCTAAGCAGGGAAAACACATACTGGAAAGGTTTTTTAATTTTTCTCTGTACACAATGATTCCTTTCTCCAGAGGAATTCCTACCTGTTTTCTTCCTCATGGAATAAAATATCACACTGGGGTTTTTTGTATGCCATTGAATATTATTATGAAAAAAGCAAAGTTTATAAGAAAAGATTATTGAAAATGAGAGATGCTGGGTAGAGTAGTTTGGGAGTAGTTTGGGCTGGAAACTAATTGGACTTTCAATTGTCAGTATTCACTATTCATGACTTTATTGCTATCAATTGTCAATTATCTATATGGAAGGAGTCGTTCATATGTGTGTGTGTGTGTGTGTGTGTGTGTGTGTGCTAGTGCTGGGGCTTGAACTCAGGGCCTTGTGCTCTCCCTCAGTTTTCTTGCTCAAGTCTGATACTCTATCACTTGTGCCACAACCCCACTTCCTCCAGTGATCTATGTGAGTAGAGACATTTAGCTAATCTGAAGCAACATATCTTGGGAACACAGTGATACTGGGCTCAGAATAACTCCTTTTGTAAAAGTTTAAAAATATATAGTTACTATAAAGATGTACAGAGGTATTAGAGTTACATACATCAGGTAATGAGTATATTTCTTTTTGGAAAATGTCACCTCTTCCCTTGTTCTCTCCTAGTTTTTCCCTCCCATCTCCACCCACAAGTTGTATAGCTCATTTTCAACATAGTGTCCACTGAGTAGTACAATATTTTTAAAAAAGAAAATAGTCTCTGAGAGGGGAAAACTGGGAGAAAATGAGGGAGGGTGACACTGTTCAATAAGAAATGTACTCATTACCTGACTTACGTAACTGTAACCCCTCTGTACATCATCTTTGCAATAAATAAAGAAAAATAAAGAAAATAGTCTCATTTATCAAATAAACCAATATGAGTCAGAAACATTTTTATGTAAAGAGCCAGATAGCAAATATTTTAGGTTTTGTGAACGACATATAATTTCTCCTCTTTTAAACCTTTAAATAATTTAAAAAAATCTTTGCTTCTAGGCCATATATATGGCTCACAGACTGTAATTTGTTCAAGAGACTCTCAGCCCTTTTCATCGAGGTAAAAACCACTTGAGCCATGAGCCACATCCTTACTCTGTCTCAACTTCTATCCATTCCTTCTAGAAAATCCTTACTGGAAGGTAGGATAGCAGGAAGAGACAAATACTGAGGACAACTGGTCTCTTTCAGCTTCTTAGGTTAAGGGCTGGGATTCCCATGGCATCCTTATTATATAGCAAATGGAACAGGGGACAGCCTGAAAAAGCAAAAGACTAAGGGTTATCAGACACCAATTTCATCTTTGGTTCCAGCACCCACGGATTTTGATTCCAACATTCTTTACAATTCTTACTGATATTCACGTTGCAAAGAGTTACCACCCTGGAGCCCTCCTGCAGGTGGGTGGCCTTCAGCATAAGAAGGAGGGACAAGTAGTAATCCTGCACGTCTACGTTCGTCTCATCTATGCTCAAGATCTTCTCAGCAAGAATCCAGAAATCCACCAACTCTTCGCCTAAAGACCAGGCCAGAAAGACAAAGATCAGCACCATTGTCGCGGCTTCTGTATCTGTGTGAAGCCGCTCTGTGCCTTCCACGCACACAGCAGCTGCCTCTCCTGCACCAGCAATCATCACTATTAGTCCCTCCTTCCAGCTAAGAAATCAGCTCCAGAAAAATCCAAACACTGGAGAGGATAAGAGACTTTGTTGTTGTTGGAAAACTGTCACCTTAAGGAAAACTGCAGATTCTTTGAATTTTATTCCACCCCCCCGAATGAAGATCAAAAACAAATATTTCCTACATGATCCACTCCAAACAACCACACACAGATCACTGCAGGCCCAAAGTGCCAAGAAGCACATTTCTTATTTTACAGCTTTGCTAAGCTTAAATTCGGAGTGGCAAGCTGAAAGAGTCTGTTTGGTTCTCCTTAATCTGCTCTTAGAGGACCCAGGGTGTCACCCTTAAAACTAAGGTCTGTCCCTGAATGAAACTTTATGTACTGATTGGAGTGTCAGCCAATGTTAACTGTCTACTTCCTAGCTCCCAGTAACAAGTAAACCTAATAGGTCAGGGAATAGTGGATTCCCATGCTGTCCCATAGGGTTTATCCTTGCTTCCTGCCCCTCTCCCCCACCATACTGACAGCATTATGAAATAAGAACTTATGTCTGTCCTTCACTTTTGTATCTCAACTTACCAGTACAGCTGCTGTTACAGGCGGATGCACAATAAATCCTGTTGTTAAATACATGGATGAATGGACGGATGAAGAAAAGGACTCTGATAGCTATTACCCACACTGCATTATTGAACATGTCTTATATTTACTGTAGCTGTCATCTGGAGTCACGGGGAAGCTGGAAACTGTGAAGAACTTGTGAACGTCTCAAGAACAACATCAAGAACCCACCTGCACTGTCCTTGAGGTAGGAACAGAAGCGCAGCATCCCTCGCACCCCGCCGATGCACTTTTCCAGTAGCCACTGGTCTGCCTTTTGCCATCTCATCATTTTGGCTGTCAGATAAAGTCCATGGTCAGATAAGGTCCATGGCTGTCAGATAAAGTCCTGTCTCCCAGCTCAGTGTGACTGAGGGAAAACAGTGGCCAGTTACATGAACAGGGTCTTGGCGAGGTGGTGACTTTGAAGGCAGGTGTCTCGTGGCACCTGTTAAGTGGCTTGTGAGGGACCCACGGACATACACGCAGTACACAGCTCAAAAGCACCCTCCGTTGGGGGGAGTGAGGAAAGCAACCGAGGGGGTTACTCTGAGCAAAATCTATAATATGCATATCTGAAATACCACGGTAAAACCCCTGGGTATAATTAATGTTTTGTTAAATATTTTAACTGTTATTTTAAAGGTGACATACAGAAGGGTTGCTGTTTCATAAGTCTGGTTGGTAAGTAGTCCCTTTCTTTCTGGAAAATGTCACTCCCTTCTCTCTCTCTCTCTCTCTCACTCACTCACTCTCTGTTTCTCTCTGTTTTTTCCTCCCATCCCCATCCATGAGTTGTATAGTTTATTACCAACATAGTGTCTACTGAGTACCACTGTTGCATTTGTTCATCCACGGTCCCTCCATTTCTGTGCCCGTGCTTACCCCCCTCCCGAAGACAGATAAACAAACAAGCAAGACAAAAAGAAAAGAAAAAATCCTCTTATTTCCATTTTCTAGAGTTCCTTTCAATATATATTGTTTTATACGATCAGAGCACATAGGTATTGCACCTTTGTGTTCCTCCTCTAAGAGGATCTTCCTTAGGTCTCACTGTGTGTTAATGTCTAGCATCCTGTATAATTGATCATGTCCTGGTGTATTTTAAATCTAGCTTCTGCATGTGAAAAAAAAATGTGATGTTTAATTAATGAGAGTGGTAGGGCTGAAGGCATGTCTCAAGAGGCAGAGCACCAGTCCTAAGTAAAAAAAAAACCAAAAAACAGAAAACAAAATGCAAGGCTCTGGCTTCCTCCCTTGGTACCAGCACACACACACACACGCCCATGTGCATGCATGAGCACACGTGTGCGCGCACACACACACACACACACACACACAAACTAGCTGGCTGTTGGTGGCTCATGCCTGTAATCCTAGCTACTCAAGAGGTTGAGATCTGTTTAAAGCTAGTTCAAGCAGAAAAGACTACAAAACCCTGTCTCCAATCAATTAGCAAAAGAAAAAGAAAAAAAGCCAGACTTGAGGTGTGCCTCAAGTGAGAGGTTCTAAATTCACGCCTCATTACCAACACACACACACACACACACACACACACACACACAAATGACAGGAAAACAAACTTTGTTGGGGCGTGGGGGTAGATACCCAGTAGGAGGGAGAGAGGGCAAATGGGAACACTGAAACCTGTTGAAATTGTTTCATAAATGGGGGACTGAGAAAGGGAGTAACAAAGGGAGAATGTGATCACTATGCATTATATATATGTGTGAAAATGTCACAATGAAACATCACCACACACACACACACACACACACACACACACACACTTACCTCCTTCTTGAGACTTGATGAAGCTGATGAGCTCCTGACAGAGAATGTAATGGAAACATAAGTTTGTTTTACAGAAGAAAGGTAACCGATACTTTTCCAACCAGGTCAATAATTTTTTGTACTTGCAGATCTAGAGTTCAAACAAAACCAGCAACAGAAAGATAAGTTGAACTGCACTGCTAAGAAATGCAGCTTGACAAGGAACAGGAGTAGCCTCACTTTTCCACTATCTGGAAGGAGAGGTGTGTGGATTATAACTTGTATCTGAGGAGAATAGACACTTGAGCTGAATGGACTAATAGAAAATAACAGGCTTACCCTTCCAAAACTTTTCTTTATTCTTGCATAGATTTGCCTTATGTTTTTTTTTTTTGAAAAATCTATATCTGCTTCCCAGAGCCTAGCAGCCAAGATTTTGGTCTGTGGCGTCAGGCTTAGCCCTACTCAACTTTCTTCTTTGTAAACACACAGGTCTCACACGTCTCCAACCCATACCTATTATGCAATGAAACAGCATCATGAAGCATCATCCCAGCACTTAGGAAGCTGAGACAGGAGGAGAGCAAGTTCTAGGCCAGCCAGGGCTGTGTAGTGAGACTCTGTCTTAAAAACATAAATAGCAACACACAAACATACAAACACACACATACCATAATTTAGAGTACAGGATGGGTCCCGGATCCGTAAGAAAAGGGAGAAAAAATGAAAAAAAGAAAGTTTCAGAGTTTTTTTTCCTCTTTTCCCCATAGAAACAAAAAGTAAGAATTGAAGTAGGTTATCTCTTCTTAGCTTTCTAGAACTCAGAGATGACAAAAAACCTTATTAGGAGGGGGGCTTTCTGTGTCTTTTCCAGTCCTACGTACCATTGGAATCTCATGGAGGAGATATTGGTAGGTCTAAGAAAAGGACAAGAGTAAAGGGAAGAAAGAGACATGAGAAAGACAATTTAGAAGGAAAAGGTGAAATGTATAAGAAGAAAAAAATATAAAAGACATGTTTCTAAAAGACAACGGTCAAGTAATCATCAGAAATTTGGGAGTGATAAACCAGGCACCACTGGCTCATGCCTTTAATCCTAGCTACTAGAGAGGCTGAGATTTGAGAACTGTGGTTTGAAGCCAACCATGAGTCTCTCCTCTCCAATGAACCACCAAAAAGCCAGGTGTGGCACTGTGTCTCAAGTGGTAGAGTGTCAGCTTTGAGTGATGCTAAGGGTCAGTTAGCTCCCAGGCCCTGTGTTTAAACCCAATATCAGCACATACATGAGAGATAGAGAGGGCGAGAGGTAAAGAGAGAAAGAGGGGGGGGAAGGAAGGAGGGGGAGAGAGAAAGAAAAGAAAAGAGCCAGGTGCCAGTGGCTCACACCTATAATCCTGCCTACTCAGGAAGCTGAGATCTGATGATCACAGTTCAAAGCCAGCCCGTGAGAAAGTCCAGGAGATTCTTATCTCCAATAAAGCACCAGAAAACCAGAAGTGGCGCTATGGCTCAAGTGTCCTTGAGCTGAAGAGCTGAGAGACAGTGAACAGTCCCAGAGTCCAAGCCCCACGACCAACCAAAAAAAAAAAGAAAGAAAGAAAGGAAGGAAGGAAGGGAGAAAAAAGAAAGGAAGGAAGGAAGGAAGGAAGAAAGAAAGAAAGAAAAGGAAAGAAAGAAAGGAAGGAATAAAAGTTTCAGAGTCACTTCTTACCTTGGACTATATCTGATAGTTGATATCTGATTATAACTAAGTGATTTATGGGGCACTGTTTCTTATCCCAGAACCATGGCAATGTCAATTAATTCTTATATCATTCTTGCTAAGGTATGACCTCAAAATTCTTCTCAGCATTGTGTTCCAAGCACCTGCTACCCAACAATCAGAAACAAATTCTGTTTGTTAACTATGGACAAGTATAGGAAGGAAAGTGTTCACCAGCAATTTCTTATCTCCGATAAAATTGTAAAATGTCTACCTGCTCAGTCACCTGCCTTACAGTTTCTCCCAAAGTCATCTTTTGGGATCCCTGTTTCTCTCCCTTTCCCAATTCATGCTTCAAACACAAGCCTCTCTTTCTCCATCCAAACCTTTCACCATTCGAGAATCTTCTCACCAGATTATAGGGCATTTCTGGCCACAAGCTCCATTGTGAACTTTCAACAGTATAAAATGGTGTCTGTCCAAAAACCTGCAAAGGAAAGATAGGAAAGAGGTGGAACTGGTCTTCAGGTGCATAGCTCAGCTTATCTACGGACACAGAGAAGCAGAGACTCCACAGCCTTCCTGTTTTGTTCTGTTTTGTTTTTGTTTTTTTGGTCCAGTCATGGGGCCTGAACTCTGGGCCTGGGCGCTGTCCCTCAGCTCTTCAGCTCAAGGCTAGCGCTCTACCACTTGAGCCACAGCGCAACTTCCAGCTTTTTCTGCTTATGTGGTGCTGAGGACTGGAACCCAGGGCCTCAGGCATGCAAAGCAAGCGCTCTACCACTGAGCCGC